ATTTTCACTCACACACCCACGATCACCTGCTACCTTCTGTGCGTCCTTTGGGCAGATACCAATGATAGACATTGACTCCATAGATTCTGACGATTCCTCAGGTATATGTTCCCCCAGCCCCTCCTCCACCTTCTCACAAAATCCACCACATGCATCATGCAATCCATGCTGGACGTCTGTTTTCTCCCAACGCCTTTCAACAGCAATGCTAATGGTACGTATCCTGCGCTTAGATATGTCTATCCTGACTTTGTTAGGGCAGGATAAATCACGTTGACCGACTTTTTTGTAACATCCGATGCTACTACCATAAAGTCGACCACCCAGCAGCCAAGCTCCTTGTCATCGTGTCACAAGTTCAAGAGTCTGAGGTATGTCCTTCTCCATTTTATTTCTTCTTTACTTGTTAACTTAAATCCAGATGGGTGACTCTACCAACAAAATCATCATTCTCGCAACTTGAAGAGAACTGCTCAAGAAACCTTCTGGTGATGAGCCTCCACCCTAACAAAGCCTAAATCAGGGCATACAAATTTACATGTGCCAAAGACCTCAGTGAATTCGAAAGTGAGTCACTTCCTCTTCCTGTTTACGTTTCCTCATAAAGTGTCGCAGATCTATTGACATCTGGCCTACTGTCCCCCTTCACACAGGAATGCCTCATCACAGCCGCCAATCCTGTCAGGTTCACTCGCATTGAGGAATAACAACTTGACAGAGTATGCCCTCCACCATCCCGTTGCCTTATACATCTACTGTTATTCAATAATCAGTTCTTTAAAGAGATCGGCAATTCAGGCGTAAAAGTCATCATTGCAAGCTCATCCACCAACAACCTCGCCCCACACACCCCAATCACTTTGGCATTGCCGTTCTCAAAGTCCTCTACAAATTCGACCTCCGCTGCATAGCTCGCATTGTCAACTTCACGCCTCTCACGTGCATCAGCGCACCACACCCCAGAGGAAGCAGACTACATTGACATCTTTGAGATGACGGAGATTGGTGGAGACTGCGTCAACATCCTCCATAGGGGAGCAGCAGACAACCATCTCAATGATTTCAAGTGCAATCGGAAATGCCATCAATATGATTAAATCCCTTAGGAGCTGGGCATATGGGATGAGGCATACGGGAGCACATGAAGTAATATCTGAACACTCGCTGAGAACACTTTGGTCACCCCATTTCAGGTACCTCTTAGGTTGTATTATACCTATAGAAGTAAAGGCCTAAGAGGTGCTTTTCAGGCGGTCCGGCCAATGTTTTCTGGTCTTTCCCCAAGTGCATAGAGTCAAAAATGAAATGTATTGAGCATGGTCCAGGGACCAAAATAATTTTTGCATGGGAAAGACCACCAGGCAACTTTAGACCATGCATGCATTGGGAATTTCCCATGGTGTAGGGGTGTCAGGAGTCCTATTATGACCCATAATTTTGGGCAAAAAAAAACACTTTGGTCATCCTCAAATGCCAATTTCTTTGGAAATTTCTCACTATATGTATTGCATCTATGCCCTACACCCTCCATAAACAAATCTTCTCATATAATTGAACAATATATCTGGTGGGTATATGGAAAAAATGAAAAGTGATTACTTTAATTGAACCTCTTGATGAAAGTTGTAGCATGTGTTAAGGCAAGTCTATATGTGATCATACCTTATCACAATTTTGATGGGAAGGTGAGATATGGCTGTAACAAAAATCGTTGTCGGGCTTGTTTACAAAAAAAAAAAGTCATTATCCTTGATGAAAGTTGTAGTCCTAGTGAGGGCAGGTCTATACCTGCACATTTTTTGTTAATTTACTATCATCTGGGAAATATATAAGCTTTGTGCGAAAACAATAAACAGGGAAGACCACATGCTTAATGGGAAAGACCATGGAATAATACTTGTCTAATAGGGAAGACCACAAGCTTAATGGGAAAAACCATAGGCATAAAAGAATGTCAGAATGAGCAGTAAGAATACTGTGGGGAGTGGTACTGTACAATGTCCATGATAGATACCCACAAACAGTCATAGGTGACCCATAGAATGGAATGCAAAAGGATTATGACGACAAGGAGTCCATTGTAGATGGTGGGGATTTAGGTGTGACCGTATACAGGAACGTCCATGGTCTATGACTTATCGCACGCAGCTGGAGTCTATCTTCTCTTCTTCGTCCTCCTCAAGGATAGGCTCCTCCTTCTATGTCATAGTCTGCTGCAAGCTCATTGTCAAAGATTACCTGGAACTGCAGTAAAGGAATGATGAATTGTGTCACACTACGTACATGAGTGATCAGGGCTTTCACGAGTTTGTGGGTATACGTCCCATATTCAGCAATATTAGAGCAAAGGCACTTTGTGGTGTACGAAGGAAGTTGGGGTTGAAAACGATTGCCAGGACTTCAGCTGTCATTTGGTTGTGTTCCTTATAGTCAGTTACTCTGGAGTAGTAGCATCTATATATTCAGCTGACAAAAGAAACAAGCACAAAAACTCACCTGTGGAGATTTTCAAAAGGTCAAAGTTGGCCTGAGGAAGCCCATGCACAACTCTGAATACAGGTAAGCCGCGAGTTAAGATTCTTGAGCTCTGCAAGAACATGAGCATTGGAAAAAGACCATTGATGGAATGGATTTTACTCATTGCCTCAATAGCATTGAAATAGGGCAACAATGGGAAGACAGGCTTGGGAGCAACATGAACCATGACTTTACCAAGTCACACACAGCATGATGAATATCATTATCGGGGGTGATAGGCCACTCTGAGACTCGAGTTGCCTAGGGAATCAGCAGTTAATTACAGTGCACCCTATTCCAGATAGAAATCATACCTCTGTTAAAACTCTCAACTTCAGATGTAAAGTAGCTTGTGGTCAAGTCGAATGTTACCTTGAGGTCCAATAAAATGAATGCCAAGATGGAAATATGGACTTGGGGACGTTCTGGACAAACAAGGACAAACAAATCAAATGACTTGATGCTCCCAGTGCGTCTAAAGAGCTCTGAAGCCAACAAATTACAATATTATACTCAGACAATGACGATGCTTACAAATTGAGCAGCTGGAATGCCCTGTTTTCGCTCTGGACAAGAAAGCTGGATCCATCTTGCTGGAAATGACAGGGTCCATTTCGATTCAACTGGGCGATGTGAATGGATGCACGGCATGCGATTAAATTGTCTGGCGTAGGCTCAGCTTGCGTTACCTACTCTCCAATGAGTGGCAGCCCCGATGGTAATATCCATGCCGTGTGTGACTTGGTCAAGTCATGGTTCTGAGCCACCAACTTAAGATCCGGCTTCTCGGCCACAAGATGTACTACCCATTCAGATGACGGTAGGAGACCCATGAGGTTTGCACGTAGGTCAGCGAGCACTTCAGCTCGTCATCATCTTCTCAGCTGTCTGATTTCTTTGACAGTCCTTCAGGGAACTTGGGTGAAGCTGTCTGAGGTTGCTGTCAAGGGTGCTCAATATAACTCCCATGAATGTCAGCCCAACCCAAATGTCTGCAATGAACCTGGGTGATTCTCCTCAAATTAATCCATGGGACCTTCTTTTCTAGTGCAAGTGCATGGAATGTTGTACGGCTGGATAGGCTTGTCTACCAGCTTGCCAACCCTTTCCCAAGCATCCAGAAGGATATGCTCCACAATTGCTGTTATCTTGAACTGAGTGGAGGTGGACACTCTTCAACTCTTAGACAATCTTATCTTTGTGGGACTCTCCACATTTTTGAAACTTACGCGCTGTGTCCCTTGATGTTGGTTTAGCTGTTTCCCTCATAACTGGGCGACCATCTTGATATTCTCAAGACTCATTCGGCATGATCAGGCCAATCTTTCTGGTGCAAGTCTGAAAATTGTATTGTTCCTGCGTACAACGACGACTGCTCAGCTGTTTCTCCACTGTTATCAGGCAAGTTTTGTGTCGAAGAAACCTCCTAGGATGGTGACAGTGATCATGCATGGAACTGTCATCATTAACGAATGACTTGGGGTTGCGAATACTGCAAGAAAGCCTAGAGTAGATAAAGCCACGCTGTTGGGTTACAATCAACGTCATCTATATGCCTTGTGATGAGTTGATTACCTGGTGGTCCATAAGAAAGAGGGAGCACTATAAATGACTGCAACTCTGGTACGATTGTCATTGAGATGCTGAGACTACATGTAGCATTGAATCAGCATAGAGAGAAAATCCTAGTAGGATTACACATACTGCAAATTCCAGAGACTTCATCTTTTCACCGAAGTGTCGAGCAGTGACACCTGCGAGTATGCAGTGGACATTGAAAATGAGTGAAAGAGAACATAGTGTCCTTGTTATCACTTGAGATCCGATATCCAGAATAGCGAGTATGCTAGCGTCCACCGCCATGATAACACCCGCCTCGATAATGGAAGACGTAAATTTGCACAGCTTTCTGATTTCAATATAGGTAAATGCGTGTACCAAAGTGCTGTGTTTCACATTATCATCATTGAAACGGTCAATGAACTGCCTGATATCCAATGAGTTGACAATACCGTTGACATGGATATTTTCTATATGTTCTAAAACAAGTGTGGGCACTCCAAACATTGCAGCGGTCACCAGTAAAAGGGGGAGAGATCACTTTCGCTTGAAGCCTTCTATGGAGTGAGACCACTGTGGGAAACACAACACGAAGAGAACTCTGTAAAGTACTCTTCAAATGTTGGGTCAAAATTGCTATGCCTAGCTGCTATTCAACCCTAAAGAATTTCTGTACTAGACTCAGAGCTCAGAGAGTAGAAGTATCATCAAGCAAAAGACTGTGATTCAGACTGGTACTGACACTGGTGAAAGGGAGACATGATTATGCAAGCAGTAAAAATGCGAACATAAACTAAGGAAAGTGGGTAAGTGGAGGTAAGTAAAAAGGGGGAATATCAGCCCAGGGAAAACTATATTGTCACAGCGGTATCATGCTTCATGGATGTTAGTGGCACAGTCATTTTCCAGTAAACCGTAGTAGTTTAAAAATTGATGATGACCTTATCCAGGATCCTATAAGTTAATGCAAAACTTCAGCTGTGTCAGTCGTGAAATTCCTACATAATATGCTCCATATCCTTCCTATAATTATTAGGGGTAGGTTCCATTTATGTCGCTGTATAAATGGGTGAAGCAAACATACCACAAAATGCTACTCCTTCCTCTGTCATTAAATTGTTGGATGAAAGATGAGACTCTGTGCGATTCCATCCGAAAATAAAGCACTATCATATTTGAGTGACATACTGAATCTAATGATACAAGATATTATTTTCTCTGTTTGCTCATTATTCTGAAACAATGAAGCTGCTGTCGATTGTTCTAAGGTCAGTCCTTCTATAATGTGTATTTAATTCAGTTCTGTGACATATGCACCCAGATGTCTTACCTGCTAAAAACCATTCCAAGTGAGCTCGAAGCTCATTCGCATCAGAAGGCCTCATTTCATAATGATGTGGAAAGAAATTGACATGCTTCCTGATTTATATGTCCAAGTGGTGTTATTTTATGGACCAATGTTTCTTACCAAAATTGTGCTTCAAGCTCAAGACCTATGTATTTGAGTTGGACAGCATGACGTGCGTTGGCGGGGTATCGTAACTTATGTTTATGATTCCACTCACGTGTGAGCCCACACTCCTGAAAAAGCAGACTTGCATCGAACACATCAAACCAAGCAATGACGTGCTGCTTTGTGTCTGCACAATAATATTCATAGTGATCCCCGTCCTGCTTTGCAACAGGTTCAATGACCAGGAACCACATATCTTCTTGCAGTCTTCTGCATGCTGCATGTATCCAATTATTCAGGTTATGCAGTCGATCGCGCGAGCACCTCTTTATGTCGGTGCCTGTATATGTCTTCTGTACAATCGTAAGAAACACTGAGTTGAATATGGATGATCATGTGTTGCTTACTGTCTTCCAGGAAAAATAGTACATAATGCCTGATGGGTGCACGATCCCCTCCCAATCACCGTACACTTCATCCCTGTTTGATCACCAGCTTCAGTTGGTTTCGATTGAGCTATGTAATACAATCCCATACCGGAATGCATCGGCTTGTTTGGACTGAATAGTATAATCAGCGCCCAACAAAGGATCACTAGGATGGAGATTAGGTTGGGGAACGCACTTAAGAAATCAGTAAATAAGCTAACTGTATTACTGCTTTCGAGTGCTGTTGCAACTCTGATGGCCATGAAGGTATGCTACGACTTAGTAGATGTCGGTTGGCGTCTGTCTGAACCATTTTCTCAGTTCCAGCAACATAAACAAGACACATCTTCAGTCAATCTTCAGTCAGTAATAATTTGATTTCCGATATATTCTCCACATCGCTGGAGTTTCTATGTTACACTAACCCTCATGGCTGAGTCATCACCCCCAGTAAGAACTGGTTGTGACGGGAGAGGGCTGTATGTGTTGGGATGTATTGATGAAAGTGGTCAGAAGAAAGATACCAGCAGGGCACATTCTATCTTTTGGTTCTGCAGGCGTGCCCCTGTAAGCATCATCCCGTCACCCCGTCCTACTCCACGACTTTCTCACTGGATGCTAACATCCTCGCTCACACACCCACGATCATCTACTACCTCCTGTGTGTCCTTTGGGCAGATACCAAAGGCTGACATTGACTCCATAGATTCTGTCGATTCCTCAGGTATATGTTCCCCACTGGCAGCCCCTCCTCCATCTTCTCACAAAATCCACCACATCCATTATGCAATCCATGCTGTACGTCTTTTTCTCCCAACGCCTTTCAACAGCAATGCTAATGGTACGTATCCTGCGCTTAGATATGTCTATCCTGACTCTGTTAGGGCAGGCTAAATCACATTGGCTGACTTTTTCATAGCATCCGATGCCGCTACCACAAAGTCAATCACCCAACAGTCAAGCTCCTTGTCATCGTGTCACAAGTTCAAGAGTCTGAGGTATGTCCTTCTCCATCTTATTTCTTGTCTACTTTATAACTTAAATCCAGATGGGTGACTCTACCAACATGATCATCATTCTCGCAACTTGAAGAGAACTCAAGAAATCAGAGAACCTTCTCATGATGGGCTTCCACCCTAGCAAAGTCTTTGACATTATTTGTGGACATTCATCTAACCGGATCCATGTGTAGTGACAAGGCAATAGATGATACTGTAACACGGTATCGAGCAGTAGAGTTCATGACAGGCATAGGGGAATTTCATCATTGTTATCTAAGTCACCTATTTTGCACCTTCAGGCAGGCTCTTCGTCATTCAAAAGTCAAGCTCACTTGGGTGTGTTCACAGCCGTTGAGGACTCCGTACACCTCTAAAGAGATCGATGTGATCGACAACCTGTAGGTTCCATAGTATAGTGCGGCTGTCCGGCTTTTTGTTCTGCAGTTACAGTGTCATATTGTGATGGTGCTGGTGCCAGCCCCTGACTCGCTTATTCCTGGCATGTTTTGTATCCATCAAATTAAACACAAACCAGTCTTTTGTATTTCATTTCTGGTAAATGACTGCTAATCTCATGTGATTGTACTGTCAATGCATGATGTTTTTCGACTTGTAACCAAATGAGTCTATCTTGACCAGTCTTGCTAAGCAGCCAGACAGGACAAACAGTCTTTTCCTTTTACCACGCCCTGATTCCTGAACATTCACTCATGGATGGATTTTTCAAGGCCCAGGTCAATTCCACCAGCTAAGTAGTGCTCTCTTGCTGAGATATCTAATACAACGGCCTGCTGGGCATTTCAGGACCCTCCCTTGTGTTTTTTTTTGTGGTTTTCTTTTTTTGCAGTGTTTCTTATGTGACTATGAGGGGCACCGGCAATCACGTGGAAGATAGGGATGCTCAGAGATGCCAGAGTTGCTTGATGTAGTACTTGCAGAAGGACACAAATGTATGGAGTTTGCCAAAGGGGAGTCGGTGAGCTGCCGGTGGGTTGTGCGTACAGGTGCAGTGACCGGGAACTGGGGCTCACGGGCATGTAGATGCAACCAAGAGGTCCTTTGGATTGAGCGAGGGGTCTTCAAGTGATGAATGACTCCTGAGCACTCCAGTGGTCTGTGATGTCTCCTGGAGTATATAAAATATATCGGGGAAATCACATCTACGCTAGGCGATGGTGACGGAGGAGCAAAGGAAGGTGTCAGCAGTGTCGAGCATGTTGCTGACGTGCCAAGGTATACAGTTTGCTCGTTCTCTTTGTCCTCTGCAGGAACAGCCACAGCTAAATTGGAAGTCATTCTCGAGTTGAAAACCCAGGCTTCCCGGTTTGTGCCTCCGAGAACAGTCCTAGCAGTGGGGGTTTCTGACAGCAACGAGCCAATGAGTCCGATGTGGCCAAGCTATGAATGTGTCAACTGGAACAGAGACTTGGACAGGGGGCTTGGGGAGGGAGAGGGGGCAGAAAACAAGCGACTGGGATGACTGAGATGACTTTGGAGTGAAAAAGACTTCATCAAGCAGTGATTCGCTGAAACTGTGGGGGCTTGCAAGATTAGAGGACAGTCCTGCCAGTGAGGAGGCCATCAGTATATGCGTCGGTATCTATGCCCCCCATAGACTTGCAAAAACAAATTAGTCCCAAATGATTTTTCAATACTAGTATGAGTGCTATATATCTTGCCTGTCTACAGGCCTGCAAACGCCTAAACAGAAAGATAGATAGATATGTATTTCGTGATCCCAGACCCCCCATACCCATTGCTTCGCCTGTTTTCGTAAAGCATACTACTTTGTATAATGTTCATATATTCACGATGCAGTATGGGAGCTACCCGGATATTATCTATAGTACGCTACTTAAACTCAATGAAACATGTCGTGCAACATCTGAATATCATGTTCAGCCAGAATCAACTGTCTGTCTTCTGCTCCAGCAGGCCTCCATAGATGTTTTCCTCGATATACATTGATTGGGTATCGGATTTCGCCTTATTTTCCAGACCAGTCAAAATCCACGAGTTTGAATCCAGGGCTGTAATCCTTTTTTGCCATAACATTTGTATCCCAAATGTCTCCATGAACATAACCTTCTTGGTGAAGAGATTGAAGTTCCGCAGCGAGTGCGCCATGATGAGGGGAAGGATCAGATAGTTCCCCGAGACAACAGTAATCGTCTGTGATAAACTCCATCACAAGCATGTACCAGCCACCTGGCAGGTGTTCGAAGCTGTACAGTATTAGAGCGAAGCCGCCAGAAGCAGATCTTTGATGTACTTCCTTAGAGTAATGATGGATGAACTTGATGCAGAGCATCTTGGCATCAGTTGTCTCGGTGGAAAAGAGTAGCTTGGTGGTATCCATTTGATGGCAGTATGTGAAATGACAGAAATGACATGTTGACAATGTCTTGATGCAAGTATAAGAATATGGGTATGGAAACCTGGGATCTGGAAATTCCGAGTACAAAACATTAAGGTGTGGATCAGGAGAAGGGGACGTAATGTTTGATAACATGTGCTTGTAGCATTCTGAGAGAGACCGAAGAGCTTTTCTGAGCGCACCAATGTGCCGCGCGACCATCACACGCATTTTGGTATCGGTGTGGTGATGAAACAGAGGTAAAGCAGTCGAAATCACCTGCATGTTCGGATGCATGCTCCAAACAGCGGCTGAGAAATCAATGTGTGACCCTCTAAATTGTGATCAGTGCATTGCAAGTTGTGGAATACTAGAAACCTAAATGCAGGCTTCTCCTTCGAGAAAGAGGCCATGGAATGTATATAATATGAAAGGACTTGCATGTGGGGTTTGGCCTTCGTGGACCCTATCTCATTCTTGACTTCGGCAATTGCATAGTGGAGACCTTTGTACTGGATGTCACCGTCGGTGGTGTAGTTGCCGCTGTCAATTGTTGTGGCCCTTATGTCAATGTTGTGCGGCTGCAGGGGTTCATGGAATTTGGAAGCTCGTCCTGCCTCGTCTTTGAAGAAGCCAGACATAGTTACCGACAATGCCATGACCAGCTTATTATCGGCTGGCGTTGGCTCATGATTTTCACAGTCATCCATGAATGCACCGAAGATTGGATGAAGTAGCGTGGTGGGTATAGTATGTGCAGCCGAAGGTGGTCGATCCCAGTGAATGGTGAGGTCTGGGTCTTTCTGTATGTCTTTGAATTTAGAAGGTTTCGCCTGACTAGAAGGAGCATTCTTAGGAAATTTCCGGCTGTACTCTGAATGAAGTTGCTGCGTCCTACTCAGGAGTGTGGGCGACGGTTGCAAATGAGTATGGGAGCCATCTGGGAGGCAGTGTCAGCTCATCTGCTGTGTCAGAGTGATATCAACAGGTAGCTCACCGGCAGGTGGGCATTGGATCACAATATGCAGATGCTTATGCTGAGGAGCATTGTCAAAAACCTCTAGCACTTCATCTACAGGTGATATTGACTCCATCTCATTAAGTTCAAGACTCTCAAGAGTGCGCTTGAGCACGTCATCGACAGGCAAGTCGACCTTCCAAAGTCTCAGCATAAGATCAGATCACAGGCATCAGACCACTCACCTTCCATAGCTTGAGACTATCAGCGGCAACATGGTCAAATCGTGGCTTCTTTGCATCCTTGATAGCCTGTTGGAGGGCGCTGACACTCGCTGTTGGTGCAATCTTGATCTCAAATACATGGCGAGGAACATCGCCCAAGACAATGCAGTTGAGTTGGAGGTGGAGCAGTCCAGAAGACACTAAGTCAGACCACGATCAGTAAGGAGGAAAGGGTGGCAATATCAAAAGACAACTCACCGGCAGGTGGGCCTTGGATCACAATGTGCAGATACTTATGCTGAGGAGGCATTGCCAAAAACCTCTAGCATTTCATCTACAGGTGATAGCAAGTCCATCTTGTTAAGTTCGAGACTCTCAAGAGTGTGCTTGAGCGCATTGTCGACAAGCAAGTTGACCTTCCAAAGTCTCAGCATAAGATCAGATCACAGGCATCAGACCACTCACCTTCCATAGCTCGAGACTATCAGCAGTAACATGGCCAAATTGTGGCTTCTTTGCACCCTTGATAACGTTTTGGAGGGCGCTGACACTTGCTGTCGGTGCAATCTTGATCTCAAATACACGGCAAGGAACATTGCCCAAGACAATGCAGTTGAGTTTATACATTTGACATTGAGGACAAGAGTAATAGTGTATTGAGCAGTGACTGCAGTGAGTGGTGCAGTGACAATGCACTAACAAAGCCAAGCAGCCACACCACGTGACCGCAGCGCAACGATCGGGGAAATAAGTTACAGCCCAAAATTCAAATGTGTCTGTTATGCACCATGGTGTGCTCTCTTCCAGCCCTCATCCAGCCTGATGTGTGTCACATTCTCTGTGGACGGCGAGCATATCCTCAGCAGAGGTCGAGATAAGAAGATCTCAGAGCGGGCAGCACCAATTCACATCAATTCACAGGCAAGTTTCCATTCTTGATTCTCATGTTACAATTTGAGCATCCTTCATATGTATAGATCCTGGCTATTACACCAGCCTGCTATGCGTGTGTAACCGGTGATTCAGTGTCTACCGCTGAAGAGTTATTCACCCAAGACATCCACACTGACGCCAACGACTATACTTCATATGCTCATCGCTCATTCATTATGGCCCGAACACACAACTGGGACCTCGCCTTTGATGATGCAATCAAGGTGAGTTATACGACTCCAAAGTCTCGTCAGTGAAGAAATATACAGCAATATTTAATGTGGAGAGGTTTGGAGCAAGCCAGAGCAACCTGAGAGCTATGTCATCTTGATATAGAGTGATTGTGACATTTTTCAGGTGGGCCCATGTGGGAATGAAAGAGGATAATTGGTCGAGCTCGAACATCAGTTCTAGTATTCTCAGACTGTGCAGGGTGGATGGGAGCTGTGAGATAGATTGCACAATAGGCTGATGGACATCATCCATATGAGTCATGCTAGGATCGAAGCACATGGACAATTCCTCTAATGCTAGGAATCTCCGAACATATTGTCAAGCGCATAGGATTGGCCGGTAAAATTGACAGAGAGAGAGAATATTTGATTGTTGTAAGGCTGAAGAAGGCTTTATAATATAACCCAGCCACTTGTGGAGTCGGGACACACAAATGCCAATGAGAGCAGACGTCAGCAATGCTTGAGCCATGAGTCATAGCAGAAAACCCACTGCTCCCAACCTTTGCAATTGAGTGCTACAAACTGCCTGTGCCATAGACTGGGTGTGTCAATGGTAATCTTCCTCCATCTTCGGCATATCTTGGTAACAGAAGGGGAGCTTCACGCGCCTGATAGGTGCAATGAGTCATGCAGTGGTGAGAGGGGGGGACATAGGTTGGATGTCTGGGGGGCCAGCTTTAGTGGGGGAGGTGGGAGACAGTAGTGAAAGATTCTGCATAAGATTTCAACTGGCAAGCGCCAGAGAGCTGATGTGAGTCCCTTGTGCAGATTCAAGGACTGGGTGATCTTGTCCCTCTTTTTGACCAATTGTCGGTGAATATTATCTATGCTATCCATGACAGTTTCTAGGCCCAAATTTCATCCAGGATTGCATCCAGCTGCTGTTGGCGTTCGGTAATGATGACATTTATGCTTTGGTCTTTGATGATGGCTGCAGCCTGAGAGTGATCGAGGTTGGGAAATTTACAGTATAGGGTATTGAGGTCTGCAGGAATCTGGTCATCATCAATAAACAGGGCATCCTACTATATATCACACAAAATTTGCATAGTATCGCTTGTGAACGTGTAACCTAGAGCCGGTGTTTTTTTAATATATTCAGAGGCATGTGCCTATAAATTGGGCACTTACGATTCTAAGGGTAAATTTGTAAGTTGGTATTGGTTAGCTCTAGGTTATGGCTAGCTCAAGTGGCACAAAATGGGCATTTTCCAAAATATCAAAAATGCACAAAACAGGGGGGGGGAGATCTGGGCATTTTCCAATATCTCAAAAATGCGCAAAACAGGGGGGTCCATTTTGGGCATTTTCCAACATGCCAAAAATGTGCAAAACAGGGGGGGGCGATCTGGGCATTGCTGACAAACCCAAAAATGTGCAATACAGGGTCCATTCTGGGCATTTTCCAATATCTCAAAAATGCCCACAACAGGGGGGGGGCCGATCTGGGCATTTCTGACAAACCCAAAAATGCGCTGAACAGGGGGGGTCCGATCCAGGCATTTTCCAACATCTCAAACATGCCCACACCAGGGGGGTCTGTCCTGGGCATTTTCCAACATCTCAAAAATACCCACAACAGGGGGGTGTGATCTGGGCATTTTCCAATATCTCAACAATGCCCACAACAGGGGGGGTCCATTCTGGGTATTTTCCAATATCTCAAAAATGCACACAACAGGGGGGGTCCAATCTGGGCATGTCTGACAAACCCAAAAATGCCCACAACGGGGGGGGGTCCGTTCTGGGCATTTTCTAATCTCTCACAAATGCGCTAAACAGGGGGGGTCCAATATCAGGCTCCTACCCACTGCGGCTGGAGAAGAAAGAGGATGGTCTGCTATATCTTGAGTGTTGTGTTACATCAGAATTCCCACAGCACAAATATTTAAACCCAGCCCAACCTCATTCCTCAACCTCTCCAGCAGCAGCTGGAAGAAAACATTTGTAAACAATCTCAGCCACAGCGGCAAAAACCTGCGGCACTTGGAAAAATTTGAAAATATAGTAGGTATATGTATGTTAACGTTAATTAAATATAGAATATCCCATTTGAGCATCACATGTTGGAAGCCCCCAGTTTGGGCGCAGGAGTGCTTTGGAAAATGGCCATGCATTTGGCAGATCAAAGTCACACAAGCATTCATTGAAAACAACCGTGACATTGTGTGTATTGCTGGGACATCAATGGGGAAGACTATGACATTTTGGATGCCTTTACTCTTCAAACCTGGCCTTCAAATTATTGTAACTCCGTTGAACCAGCTCGGGAGACAGAATGTTTCATCGCTGGCAAAAGCAGGCTTGCTAAGTATATCCATAAGTTCAGAGACAGCTAGCTGGAGTAATTTTTGCGTGAGGATCTAACATGTATGCTATGGGTGGACAACAACTTACTATAGCATGGTCTTTTACACAGGACATTGAAGATATGAAATACCAGGGCGTCATCATTAGTCCGGAGCAGCTTATGAAGCCTGGAGGAGAATTCAAGAAACTGCTGTGCAAACCACTTTTCACGCAGCAGATTATTGGTATAATCTTTGATGAAGTGCATTGCATTGCAACCTGGGGGGAGTTTCATCCTGAATATAGAGAATTAGAGTGTCTCTGGTACATCCTACCTCGCTACATCCCTTTCATGCTCGCATCTGCAACACTCACTGTAGATAATCTCACACATGTGAAGCGGCTACTCCACATGTATTCTGACAAGCTTCTCACCATCCAAACTTCTGTCGATCATGCAAATATCAAACTCTGCATCCATAAAATCATGTACTCACTTTCATCATATCAAGACCTATTGTTTTTAATACCTGACGGCTGGAAGGATGGTGATCCAGCACCTCCAAAGTTTCTCATCTTCTTTGACGACATTCAAGATTCCATAGCGGCAGCGAAAACAATCCAGAGATGACTCCCGTCAGCACTGCAGCACAAGATAAAGTGGTTCAACTCTGACATGACAACACAATTCAAAGAAGACGAGCTGGATCACCTGATATCTGGAGAGACTTGGGGGCTTTGCACCACAGAATCATTTGGAATGGTAAGGACACCAGTATGCATCTAGTAGAACAATATCGTAGCTAATCATGGTCATGTTGTTTAGGGAATGGATGTACCAGATATATTACTTGTTATACAGTGGAAAGCCACATGCAAGCTGGCTACTCTATGGCAGTGATGGGGCGTGCTGTCAGAGATCACTCACTCCAAGGCACAGCAATATTATTTGCTGAAAAAGAGTATTTTGATGACGTGCAGGAAGAAAGGCGCCGGCGGCAAGAGACAAAGGAGACAAAGAAATGCAAAGCAGACGAGAACAAAGAATGTGCGGCCACAAGACGGCGTACCCAGCTACATCCTGTAAGCAGGCAGGATGATGTACATGAGTGGGAAAATAATCTTCCTGAGGACGTCGATAGTGATGGTGGCAGAGTGGAGGCAGGTGATCAGGAGCTAAAAGGGCAGTTGCAGTCGAAGTTGGAGGGAAAGTCAGGTGGGAGTGCACGGAAGAAGAGGACATTAGATCCTGTGATGGATTGCTTGATTAATGCTCACCTGCAAGGTACAATCCAGTGTTGACGCAAAGTCTTTCATGTCCACTTCAACGACTCATCAGCTGGTAATATATTTGCCAATTGTGGGGCCGTTGCTTAGCGCTTATCAGTGACTCATTGCCTTCTATGAACAGATCCAGACCATGTTGCATGTGACCCATCAAATTCTGACGGTTGCACCTGCTGTGCACCACTCAAACCAACTGTCTGTTGCGATATCCATAATCCCAACTCTCTCTCTCAAAACACTACATCTTTACCTTCTAAAATTGTCCACTGTTCACGCACTCTCAAGTTCGACATGGGACCACTGGAATTCCAGCTCCATGACACTCTGGAAGAATGGCGAGAGTCGATGACCAGGAGAGTATACGGTGACTCAACACTTAATGACTATGGTCCTGGTGTGACAATGCTGGACTCAGTGTTGGACCATATCATTGACTGCGCTCACCATCATAAATTTTTCACTACCAACGACCTACATAAGGAGACAAAGTGGTCTGCAGTTGACCACTTTGGTAGTGATGTCATAGCTATCATTCAGTGCATCATACCAGTTCCTGTGCTCCAAGCTATTTTCACTACTGCTAAGTGTCCACAACCCAATGTCCCATCTACTTCTCAATCTAGTCACTCAGTAGTTGCTCGAAAGCAAGTTAGATGTGATGCGTGTGGCATCGAGGGACATACCAGTAAGTTGTCTCTACTGGCTGACAGCAGTGACTCACACCATCAATCATGACAGAGCGTAGCCATGTTTGTTTAATGAACCAATCTCGTATTGCATCAAGCTCATAAACCACTGCCTACAAGGAAAATGTACAGTGGCTCAAAAAACCGTCCGTATGTTTTGGCATTTTTCACTATCTATAATATTGTGTGAGAACAAACAAATGCCTCAAAAACATGCTTATACCACATTGTAGTATGGCTTCAGGGCTTTCATTTGAGCCCTACACCGTGGGAATCGGTGGAGATATGGTGGAGATACAAGGCTCACAAAATGGTGACTCATGTGGACAGTTTTTTGACTCAAGTATTTTACAGTAATAACCAGGTATTCTAGTATTTTGTATGACCTCCCTTGGCTTTAATTACTGCCTCTATCCTTCTAGGCATACTCTCAATTAATTTCTGGCAATCCTCAGCTGTGATCTTCCCCAATTCCACTGCTACTCTCTCCCAAAGCTCCCATACTCCTTTAGGGGGGTTTTCATAGGCTTGAAGCTTTTTCTTGAGTGTTCCCCAGAGATGTTCAATGACATTGACATCAGGAGACTGTGCTGGCCAGTCAAGAACATTGATGTTATGTTCTTCAAACCATTCCCTAGCTCTTCTGGATGTGTGCTTGGGATCATTATCCTGTTGGAAAATGATATCTTCTTCATCAATCCCTGATTCTGCCAAGCTAGGCAGCAAGTGGTCATTTAAAATGTCCACATACTGCTCAGCATTCATCTTCCCCTCAACCTCAGCAAGCATTCCCACACCATTCCATCCCATACAGCCCCATACCATTAAAGAACCTCCTCCAAACTTGACAGTCCCATTAACCTCTCTGTCTGTTAGGCCATCTCCCTTCTTTTTCCATACATACACCTTCCCATCTGACCCAATCCTATTGATTTTGGTCTCATCTGACCATATAACATGCTTCCAGTCCTCTACAGTCCAGTGTTGATGAGCTAAGGCAAAGGCTAGTCTTCTCTGCCTATGTTTGATGGAGAGAAGAGGCTTTTTCTTCTTTGTTACTGCCTTGAGATGAGCTGCCTTGAGAACATTCCTCACAGTTTGTGAAGAGACAGGGGTAGTGATGGTGGAATTGATATAATGGGTGGCTTGGACAGCATTATCAGCCTTTCCTGTAGTGATATGTTGGATAATAGCCCTTTTATCAGTAGAGGTAAGCTTGGATGGACGTCCTCCACAAGAGTTTTCCTTGTCTGGGTGGCTTTCTTTGATGAACTTGGCCACAGTGGACTTGCATATTCCAGTTCTAGAGGAAATTTGGCGAGCAGAGAGGCCAGCATAAGACAGAGAGAGGATATTATCTCTTTGAGCAGAGGAGATGGCTTTCATGGTGATTATGACTATGATACATGAGATATTCTGGTTTATATAGTTAGATATAGTCATAAAATAACATAATGACACCACTTTATAATTTATATAATAGTGGCATGATTTTTATGGTGTCATAAATAATGATTTATATAGTTTTAATATACACTCAAAAAACTGTCCACATGAGTCATCATTTTATAAGCCTTATATCTCCACCATATCTCCGCCGATTCCCACGGTGTAGGGCTCAAATAAAAGCCCTGAAGCCATACTACAATGTGGTATAAGTATGTCCTTGAGGAATTTGTTCATTCTCACACAATATCATAGATAGTGAAAAATGTCAAAACATGCGGACAGTTTTTTGAGCCACTGTATATTGCCATGCTGGATGTTTAAGTTGCGCTCATGGACAATAACAGATACCTCAAGCGGCTTCCAACACATCTTTGTCTAATGCAAGTTCCAACACATCTTCATCTAATGCAGCTCCAAGCTGTTATTATAATCCTAGTTCTACCGCTACATCCTCTAATGTCGGGTGCTCCTCTAATGCTCCCCCCCCCTTCTATTCTACTATCTGCGCATTGTTTATCTATTAATTCAAGACCTTTAGTGTAGAGATCAGGAATAGAGTGTTTACTTTTTCGTCCAAGCACAGGTTCATGCGGGGAGTGCTGTGCTATGTACCTACAGAGCTCAATGAATGTCTGCGTCATGTCAACAATAGCGTGTTGAGTCGTGAGGTGTGAGTGCAAGAAGTTTTCTTCAAAAACCCGTTGTAAGTTGTGATAAACCTGGACAAGGGGAGATTCCAAGATTATACGGTCTATAGTGTGATTAGAGCTCTTGCCTCTGTAATAAACCTAGACGTCATTAGCCAATGTATTTTGGTGGTACAAAAATAACTCACCTTTGTATACAAGTTATTTAACTCCATGCACCAGTCAACGGCTCGGAAGCTGCCTGCTTTGCCCGATGGGTTCACAAGAATATGATATCAAATAGCTCTCCTAAGTCATAATTTGAATCAGCTCGTGTTTTGACAAACAAAAAAAACCTCACTGCAAGCCATCTGGGTATATAAAGTGAATATTGCATAGAGAATCCGACATGTGCGTCGCATACTTATGCTTCCCAGTTGCCATGAATAACAGGATCCACGCAACAATACAAGTTTCCACCTGCCCAATATCCCCAATATTCATTGAAAATGAAAGTTCCTCATATAGTAGCATGTACTTGTTGAGGAGCAGCGCGTTTTCATACTCCCCATCGCACTGAGTGACATCTTTCGATCTCATCCGCCAAAGTCTGTCATCAGCAACATACCCCTTTGCAATTACATCTGACATTGCAAGCAGATCTTCAAATAACGGCTCTGATGCCACAAAGGCATCCAAGTCCACATGTGTGGGATCACATTTTTTTACTTCCACTCTCCAACAATCAAGGCACCTGCAAATACCAGAGTAGGTGATGAGCTGGTGCATTCTACGAAACCCAGGCTTTGAGCCATATATGCCTGTTTCTTTAGGTCGAAGGATCCCAATGTCTCGCATCAAAGTGTTCTCATCTACTCATGCCAAGGAATGCTGCAAGAAGGTGCGCCAGATGGCATCTGTGCTCACCATCTTCAAATGAAATAAACCTGGAATGAAGATGACATGCTGGAGGCGATTCCAAGGTGTGCTTTCAATGGTGCATCGCTGGAGTGCTGCTTGAAGACATTCGCCTGTGCCAAGGTTGCTGTGGAATAGCACAATGTATTCCAACACATCTAGTACTTGTGGGGGATCACAATCTGCTGAGTCTTCAATGTCCCCCTGCTTCAGTAGCTCAAGTACTGAGTTAATGTTCCCAGATACTGTCGAATTGCTGATATCCATTGCTCGCAAGGCTAAAATTGGTGTCTTGGTCATGGGGATCATTTCTACTGACTCCGGATGTTGAATGCAGTCCTGAAATTGACGGAAGTATGCAGGCCTGAACTTGATTAAATCGGAAAGGTCCTCCAGGAGTTGAAGTGGTCTCACCATGACAGACCGGCTTCGTTTAAGGGGTCTGGATGTAAGGTAAGTAGATCCTTCCATCCTTTCTTGGTTGTTACTATGTTCATGGAATCCACTTGCGGGTTGAGTGGCAATCTTTCCCACAAGGCTTTTGAGCAATGCAAGTTGTCAAGAGTAACATCATGCTGTAGTGGAAAAGGAGGCCAGCAGTAAGATGTTTGAGCATGTCTTCTGACTTGTCAACTGTATGAACAGTTGATTTAAGGTCCACATCAAATTATCATATGCATAGGATGTGAGAAGTGTCTGCCCCAGAGCGGAAATGCTGCGGTGAGCTTCCTTTGACAATGACATGACAGCCGTATTGATTGAATCAACAGAGACACAGATTCCCATCCACAATAGTGTCTCTATGACCTTTTGAGGTGCGTGTGCAGACTGCAGAAAGATACTGAAGATGCTTTGAATTGTGTTTGATTTTTGGTTCACAGTCTGCATGATTATGCTGAAAATAACGACCTTTTTCTAGCAGAGGAGTAACCCCCCCCATTTTTCATGCGCATCTAATACTACTTATGATCATCACCAATTTATTATGATGCACCATTATCTTTTCCTGTTTCACTAATGTGTCAGCAAAAACTCTCATTAACCCATCCAACTCTCTGTCACCAAACACTTCCCAATAGATATCTTCTTCGTCACTATCTTCTGGACCTTTGGTGCCTACTTCTACACCAACATACTTCTTCCCTGTAAACAGAAGCCTGTCAAACAGACCCCATGGTGTTGGTGTGAGAGCCGCTGCATGCCTTTCCCGAGCAGATCCATATTAAATTCCTCTAGTTGCTCTACAGAGGTGTGCGACACAGCAAAATGAGAGCCATGTTTCTTTGCTGACAGATCCCTAATCTCCTGCACACATACATCACTCATGATGTTGCTTGCCCACTCCTGTGTTGTTTCAAGTTGTGAGTGCCTCACAAGAAGCTCTGTGATACGATGACCATTGTTCAGAAGATCAACCACTATTTCGTCGTTTGAATTATCATTATTGGACAGTATATCGATCAGGAATTGTGAGACTGAGATACTGACGATATTGAACACTTCCATGATCACATCTATCCAATCTCCGAGTCCGAGACTCATCTTGGGCGACTGTACAGAAATAGTATCTATATGTAATTAACGTTAACATACATATACCTACTTTAAATATTTGTGCTGTGGGAATTCTGATGTAACACAACACTCAAGATATAGCAGACCATCCTCGTTCCTCTCCAGCTGCGGTGGGTAGGAGCCTAGTCCAATATGGGCATTTTTCAACATGTCAAAAATCTGCAAATCAGGCGGTGTCTGTTAAGACCGTACTCAAGAGGTATCAGATCCGAAGGGCTTTGGCCTCAGCTCGTGCGCTGTGCCCCTTTCCTGAGTCTTGCCCCTTATTTCAGAGTGCTAGAGTATTGTGTCTAGTGAGACGGATAAGTATCATAATGGATCTGTTAAGGCTTCCGGATATTTAATGTATAGAGTAACAGCTAATCCGGATCAGATCCGAACTAGAAACTAACGGGTGAGGACTGTTTGAAGACAGAGGCAGATATATAGACTATAGGATCAATCCTAAGTCTCGGAGTAGACAAGAGTATCGTACTCAAGTCCGGACGGATAACGGAAGGATTTAGAATCCAGATGGAATGAGTGCAATCTAATATGATATTCGAACTGATCTACTACAGCGCATGTACAAGGGTTTATATACTACAGATAACTAACAGAATGATCAATAAGCAAAGATGCAAGGCTATGTATGAAGTATAAGCAAAGTATGTGCACAGCGTATTGGTAAGTCGGATGGATCACAAATCATGAACTGGGAATGAAGTATACGTTAAAGCGGATCAGTAAGTGTAGCGGATCAGTAAGCATAGTGGAAGTAAAGGATAACCGGTATACCGGTGTACAGGAATACCGAAAGGAGATGAATGATAGTTAGAGTTATATGAACAGGACATGAAATAAGAATCAGATCGGATCTGTGGACCAGATGACAGATATGTCCATCAGATCTGGATCGGATCTGAGATCCGGATCTTTGGATCTGTACCCGGGTATATGGTATATGACAGTGTCCAATATGCGCATTTCTGAGAAACCCAAAAATGCGCTAAACAGGGGGGGTCCAATCTGGGCATCTTTCAACATGTCAAAAATGTGCCAAACAGGGTGGTCCAATTAGGGCATTTTCTAATATCTCAAAAATGCACAAAACAAGGGGGGCTCAATATGGGCATTCTTGACAAACTCACAAATGAGCAGAACATGGCGGGTCTGATCTTTGCATTTTCCAATATCTCAAAAATTCCCACAACAGGCATATGTCCAATCTCAGCATTTCTCACAAACACAATAATGCGCAGCACAGGGGCGGTCTGATCAAGGATCTGCTTAGGGGGGTCCATGATGAGAATTTTCCAATATACTGAACAACATTTTGAAAATTTTAACATCACTTTGAGTGCTGACTCAATCACCTTGGGGCATTGGAGCTTCATAAGGTGCAGCACACTATCCATGACTTCCCACAGAGTGGGAGGAGGGTTTTGTCAGATCCAAATCCCCAGGCACCTATACCTCAATGCATGGGAACCCTTTCGAAAAAACTGTACAGTTGATTGATCATGATGATCATGGATACACTAGATGATGATTTCGTACAAGTTGTCAATATGCTCCACATTCATCAACAAAACTCACGGTCTGTCGTCTCTATAGAGACACATTCAAGGCAACGTGCTCATTGCAAACAGATTACATAATTGATCACAATCTTTGAAAACACCAATTTGTCAAAGGCATGTATGCTAGGCCAGCTGGCTTTTCTGCTGAGAGGGTACATCCTCAAAGTTGTTGTCCCAGTTGTCTGTTTGCTCTCCCTCTTGGATTTTAGGCGACATTGCTGAAGAGTTTCCAATGCCAACAGTGTAAATGAAAAATCCATCATGACATGACAACAGTGCATTGATGTTGGTTCAGTGCCTTGTAAGTGACAGTCCCACCAATTCAACTTAGCGAGAGTGTTATTGAGGTCTGTGACTCAGAGGGAACCAGCCACTGCTGCTGCTGTAACACTGCAATTATGAAGAAGACAGCATCATTGTATGTGATATGCATGAATCAGACTGATCAGAAAAATATTCTCTCCCATGCTGATTGGTGACTGATAACATTTGAATCATACCTGCACACTAGACTGGAATATGCTATCTGGAGTGAGCCAATGGTTGTTATTGATAAAATTGACAGCTTTGATGACCAGTGTGGGATGTTATTCTGTGAGCGGTGTCATGCATAGTATGTTACTCATACCATGACATATACATAGCAGGAGTAATAAGGAAGGTAAGGGTTAGTACACCAGACTGTATCCTATCACCGAGTTACCCCATCATTTTCCCCTTAGTTATTAGCTAGTATTTTCACTTTCCAACTTCACTTCCATTTTTCCATGAATTTCTATTTTGTTCCATGGGATTCTATCTCTTTCTATTTTTCTAGGCATATTTAACCATCAGACTTCCTCTCCAGCCACAAAGCATGTTTGTAAGCTTGTCATGTGACTGGTTAATAATCTGATTTGTAAGGATTCAACTTGACTCATCATGATTTTGTCATGATTTGTCATGCTTTGTAAGACTTGCAAGTGTATTTATAATCCACTTAGTAAGAAGGCTGATTCAGCTCACTCAAAAGATTGGTTTGTAAGCATGTTCTTACCAATCCATGGGATGACTCATGTCTTTTATTCATCTTTCTTTGTAATATTACATTGTATAAATAAGCTAGTTAGTAAATCAGCTGACTCAACACACTAAAAAGATTGATTTGTAAGAATGTTCTTACCAATCCATGTGCTGAATCATACTTAGTAAGATGACCTCCAAAAAGGTATAAAAGGAGCCCATTTTGCTACTGTGAATCTAGACTTCCCACTTTAAACCTTATTCTCAAAACAAGTGAGATTACCTAAGAAATAAAGTGCAGGAAAAATTAGTGCCTTAAAGTAAGACTAAGAAACATCTATCTGAGTTATATACTATCTTACAGGGGTTGACTACATAACAAACTAACCTACTAAAACTTAAACTAAACTTCTTACATACAAATAACCTCTCTCATTTACAGGAAGGGAGACACAAGCTAAGAGAACTACTTTACATTGAGGCAAACTATCTTAGGGTGAAACAAAACTATTCAATTGATACAGGCCTCAAAGCAAACCTACAAAGAGAAAACAAGAAGGGGTCATTTTTAAGTAAACCCTCCCAAGAACTCACACGTTATCTACCACAAAACTAGAAAAATTGTAGACCGTGTACTTAAGGACTGGCAAGAAGTCTTATCCTATATAGTTGTTCTGTCAATGTATATGCATTGTACATAAGACCCTTAAGTAAGAGGACAGCGGTGTGACAACCATATTCTCGCTGGGCTCATATGAAGCTACTATGCAAATCCCAACTGTGGATTGGAAGGATCCTCAATTATTCATGCAGATGAGGATGATGTTCTTTTTAATGAAGCTAATCGCCTCAATGCATGTATGTCTGAGTAGAATTAGAACTGAATACATGGTAATGATATGATTTAGTATGATACTCAGAGACAATGTATATAAGCACAATACTCAAAGACAACAGCACTACAACACCAGCCATGGCAGTAGAATTTACAACTTCCACATATTGAAAAATGAGCTCTATTGCTTGTTTCTTTGTACCAGCTGTTGCGGACTGCCCATGTGCATGTACACCAGAGATTCCAGTAGCCTCAAGCAAGAATATTAGATGGTGATCAAATTGCAAGCTGTGAAACATGAGCAGAGGGCTTGAAATCAGGTATTGTGCATATATATGTCATCTCTAAATGTGCTACTTAATTAATATATATGGGCGCAGCAGCATGGATTTCCAATTTTTCAGCTCTTACACTCATCTTTGTAGTGCAGCAGTATGGATTTCCCTTTCTTCAGTCCTTACCATTGGCACATCAGTATGGACTTCCCTTTCTTCAGTCCTTACCCTTGTCATAGCAGCATAGACTTCCCTTTTTCAGTCCTTAGGTCCCTTGTCTTTGCAGTGCAACAGCTTGGACTTTCCTTTCTTCAGTGCTTACTACCCTCATCTTTGCAGCTTAACAGTATGGACTTCCCTTTATTCAGTCCTTACACTGTGTTCTGAGGGAATGGTAACAACACATTCTTGCATCACTCTAGCAATAACGATGGTGCTGACCTCATTAGTCTCATCATTAATTTAGAATCCAAGAAAGGGAGAGGTGGCAGCAATTTACTTACCAAAAAGCAAGCTAATGCCTCACTCTTTCTTTGTCCTCCAAATAGTACACATACAGTGTGTCACATGGAAAAGAAATTCATGGCTTGATCTTGCTGCAAGCACAAACACCACTGTACGAACATACTTTGATTGCTTCATGGTCTCTGAAACTTATTCCCCACTGCAGCATTCAATTTTTGTTATATTTGAAGTGCACTACTAGTTTTCAAATCGAGCAAACATCCATCAAAACTTGCCAGCATTACTTGTCAATGCTCAACAGTCTCCCTGCTTGAAAACTACTGATTCATGGAAACTTGTTGATACATGAGTATCCCAGGTGATTTTGTTATTGCATGACATGTTCACCTCTTAAGTAGTACACCCAATTTCAAAGAAGATTTTCAAGAAATTGAATAAACCAGGGTGCACTTGTGGTGTGAAGGTTAAAACAAGCAGTAGTAAATTGCCCTGTTTCTTTATCTTGTCTCATCCCTCATGCTTGTCCCACACAGCCAATAATATATTTCAACTTGGAAGCCATGCCTCACTTGATTTTCCCCCCACCATCATCACCTTGTCACCCTCCAGCTCAAGACTTCATTCTCGCATCCACAGCTGCAAGTAGAATGTGCTCATCCACTGTTGTGCACCAGAGGCCTGCAACTTCTCCTGCTGAGGCTCCTCCACCTGCAAGGGAGTTCGTTCTTACACATCAGTATCCTTTACCTGCGAGGGAATTTGTTCTTGCACATCAGCGTCCTGCACCTGCACCTGCTGCTGTCTGTCAGCAGCCTGTGGCTTCTCCCACTGAAGTTCCTTTTGATCTCAACAATGTATGTATCATCAAACCATTCATATACAACTGCTCACTATACCTCTGAAGTCTTTCACCAGCTATCAGCATTCCAGCAGTCCCACAGTAACCATCAGTGAGTGGCAGCTTCAAGTAACATCCACATATTAAATCTTTGGTTAGGTTCAATTTCCACTGTATTGGACCTGTCCAGTACCTCAAACTCGCCTCCGCTTGAACTACTGATGGAATCACCAATCACATCATCCAGTCTCCAAGACATCGAGCTGAATATTTGACAATTGACCTCTTCTATGGTATGAAGGACTCCAATATTATTGCCTCCGACATGTCCTTCAAGCACAATACCATTCACCATGTGACTTTACGTTCTCCCGAAACTAATAATACACGATATTTTACAACAAGTGTGGTTCGTGTGATTCCTTTACCTCAGACTCAGTACAATACTATAGGACAGTTTGGGTTGGGTCCATTGCACCCACTCCCGGGTGGGAGAGTTCAAAGGCCAGTTGATGATGATGCTTTACCATCATACATAGAATCTGTTGCAGCATGAGAATCTGTCTACATTGTAACAAGGTCCAATTAGCTTACATAGGGATGTTGTTTACATTGTAATAAGGTTAAATTAGCTGACATCAGATGTTGTACTGAAGGTTTAAAATGCTGACATTGATATACCTCCACAAACTCAGACACACTCAATACCATACATAAGGTCTAATGGGCCTCACACAATTTGAGGAGGCACACACACACTGGTATATTTTTCATGAGCTGAATATCTACCCCACGGCCAAACAAACAAGATTTTCGAAATGAGTTAGTTTGACCCTTGCCATATAATTTATTCATGGCCCATTGAATGTCTGAGCCTCTCATCTGTTCCATCTGCATATAATGGTTGTCAATGTCACATCAAAAATTAAACATGCTAGACCAACACTCACCATGACACAGAAGGCCAACCATTGTAAAAAGGCTGTTATCCTCTCAAATGCTATCAATGAGGCATGCAAAGCATATCAGGAGGAAAGCTGCAGTTATTTCTGAGAAATACAAATGGTAAGGACACACAATACCTTGTAATGACCTCAACACTTACATTGTTTCAGGAGCATCAAATGGACTCAGCTCTAGTTGCACAATGATACAGGGCCTGTGCAAGTGCAGAAAACCAACACATCATTTGTCTTCTACTAAGTTGATTAGTCTGTGTTGCACCAACATCCAGGAGGGATTCAGTGAGTATGTACATTTTCATTCAAACAACTTTGCTGATGCAGTTCATATGCCAAGATGCCATCATGAAAAAATACAAGCTGTCAAAGAAGAAGATCGCAATAAACCACAACAACTATGAGCAGAAAATTGATGAGACATACAGCATTGTCCTTGAAGGCTGGATGTGTGGGAAGATTCAAAATCCCAGAAAGATTAACCACTGTGCAGACCTAGTGATGCTCCTCAACACACTGGTGAATGAGCATTGCCTGTGGATTCAACTCATCAAAGAGCAAGTGGATGGGGAGCCTTTCCCCCCGAAGTGCGCTTCAGGGGGGAGGGACAACTGCACCAACAAGGTTTGAGGGTGGGTTGCTGATAATATTGTTCGAAACTTTGAAGTTACCCTTCCAAGCTAGTGGAAGGAGGCAAATTTTGCAATGGTAGCTCATCAGTAAAATTTTGAAGGGTTTATAAGGTGAGGAGGGGGAGGCAGTGCTTATCTAGAAGCATTCCCACTCTTGTCATACTGTGGGTATGATCACAATTCATACCACTGGATCCCGAAGGAGACCAGTTTCCTATTGTCCAATCAATACATAAAAGGACTGCATCTATTGTTCCAAGAATAGAGGTTTTCACATGTCACAAAGATCTGGGTTCTTTTACCCATGATCCAAACCCATAAATAATGAGAAGCATCGGTCACGATGACTCATGCCAAAAGATAAGGGGTCCAGGTTTCCACACGGAAATGAACCAGGTACCACGGCGGCGATAAAGAAGGGCTGATCAAATGTCACCCAATAAAGGGCTAATCTGATGGGGCCAAGAATAGGTATCACCCTACTACCTCCATCAGGGCATCCCGGAGGCGGCCTAGATCTTTATCCCGCAAGGGCCGAACCCTAACCCTAATAAAAGAGATAAGGGGCCTTGCTTCTTACAGGGCAGAAGAACATCTTCCATTTCCCACGTCTCATTGGGTCCACCCGGGCCGGGCTTACCAATCAGAAGATGTGTACCCCATGGGAACGTGTCACGTGAGGGTCACGTGATGAATAGGTTTTTGTGAAATATTATACAACTCCAGGAATTTCAAAAAAAATACCTGGAGGAGCTACTGAGTGCTACGCCAGCAGCACATAAGTAGCAATGAACAGGGATTCTGCAAAAGCAAAATCCAATCATCATATAAATACAATGGTTATGGTAGATGCGCCTTACTTTTTAAAGAAATAAAAGTAACATCGTGTTGGTAATTGCTGATCTGTGAATGAGATCAACTGTAAAACACAAGAGGCAGAAAACTTGATGTATCCTCATCCGCGAGGATATCAGCAATTTCATCATCGAAAGTGCGGAGGATGTTGGAGAGTAATGACTTTTTCCATGTGTTGGTGAGATCAAACAAATTAGCTGTTCGTTTCCTAGAAACTAAAAATCTTCTATCACAAAGCCCAGCTTTGACGACATCAAAGACTCGCCCAGTGAGAAAATCTGACATCCAGTCCTGAGGGATGGGCATCGGTAAAGACCTAAGCCATTCTCCCAAAGGTTTGTCAATGGATCGCCGAAACTCTCTCTGTTGTTCATATAATTTGAACAGGTGAGAGTGCCAGTGGCTTGTGATAGTATCTCCAAGCTTGCGGACATTAAAGAGGGTCCAGGCTGGATTAAATTCTGATTTCAGAACAAAAACATGTGTTTGGCCTGCATTTCCGCTGCTTAAGCGGTTATTCCAATGCTTTGTGTAATGCATTTGAATCCAGTGTTCCAGAAGGTTGTTAGGGTATCCCCTGTGAATATACAAGAGTTTTAATTCATGTATAGACTCCGCTGTATCCATCGAAAGTGGAGTTCAGAGTTGCCAACCTTGACATCTCCCCAATAAAGGTACCCTTTTTAATATCTTTAGGGTGGTGCGACGTCCAAGGAACCCTCTCTAAGTGGTTCAGTCTCTTTTGGTAAGGCTTATGCTCAATGTTCCCATGGAATGCATTGATATAAATAAGCATGTCCAGAAATGGAATGGAATATTCAGAGACTTCCCACGTGAGTTTGATATGTTCAGAGTCTGGATCATCCAGACATAAACATTGTGCAATGTGTAAAGCTTCCTCGGCAGAGTTTGCATAAACAATCATGAACATGTCCTCTATATATCTATGATAGAATGGTACATTTTCCCGAAGGATTTCATCGTTATGAAAACACCAATCTTCAAAGTAGGTGCCCCACAAGTTGGCAATGTCTGGGGAGCAAGCAACTCCCATAGCAAGGCCTTGTAGTTGGCGGTAGATGACACCATCAAATTCACACAAAAGGTTATAATTAGCCAACCGTATTGCACAGTTGAAAAGTTCTTTTTCTGTGGCAGAGGACATGTGGAGTGCGGTCTATAAGAGGCTTAAGACATTTCGAATACATATTTAGCTGCAGGTGCCTGGACGCATGAATGGCATGGTACAATGGGTCTAAATTTGACTGGTTGTTTATGGATTTTAGGGATGCCATAGAACCAAGGGATTTTCAGTTCGTCCAACTGGTTTTCCAGACATTTGGATACCAGGAATTTGCACAACTGTTCAGTCACTCCAGCCAGTTCAGCTAGTTCAGCAAGGTTCTGAATTGCAGTAGTAGTATCGTCAAGGATGATCTGACGTTCTGCAGGAGCAATTATTTCATAATTGTTCCTGTCGTCAAGGCAAGCCTTGCAACCATCTATGAACCATTGTCTCATGACAATCACACAGCCAAGATTCTTGTCAGTCATAGTCACGATGTAATTACACACTGTGAGCATGGCTTCGAGGCAGGTTAAATCCATAAACTGAGACTTATATGGTTTAAAGATTTTGCTAGAGGTCGTAAAGTGGGACACTATGTAGTTCCACATACTTTTTCCCTTCAGCTAAACCCGCTTCAATGTACAGATATAGACTGCTCCAGCTTCTTTCTTATGAAGTAAGTGGAGGTTGTAGTCTGGGTCATAATCAATGGGAACTTCTTCAAAGTTCCCACGTGCTAATTCACTCATAAAGAATATTTTCCAACTGGAGACGTTTACACAAGTCATCATATGCATCTATAATAAGCAAGTCCTTGTAGGGACGAAATGGCAGATATCGTAATCCTACTCCAAGTTGGCATCTAAAAGATAGGTCCAAAACCACTCCAGGTCCTACATGCACATCCCCATGAATCTTCGCTGCAATCCGAACATCTTCAGGGGCTATGGAGATGAGTAGCTTGATCACTAAAGGAACTGGTACTCCTTAGTATGGCTTCTGGGTATGTAGATGGAGAACCATACTTTACATGATTTGACTGTAGCATCAAAGTTATTTCTTTGATTGCTTCCCTTTTGAGTGTTGCAGTTTTAAAGTTTTAAAGCTGCGCCACTCACTTTTATCAGGGGTGAGTTGGAGTCGTTTTAAGGCAGCAGAAACCTGTCGATTGACGATATCATCAATCTTCTGCGTGCTGGGGCTGGCTTCAGAAGCCATTTCCACATCAGTGTCCTCTTTAAGTTTGCACTTGGCATTGGCTTTAGCACAAAGTGCTTGGCCTTTAGAGCATTTGAGGAAAATGATGCGCTGACATATGGGCACAAGGTCGATACAGAGTCGACGATAAGCCTCAACGGCCGCAGGGGTTTGCGACCATGAGATGGCTTTACCTTCAGCATCAAATTTAGGGACTTCTTGAACATCCTTAAGCCCAGCATACGTCCCGTCAAGGGCAGCATTGATGGGGGGCATGGCGAAATTAGGTATAAGCGGCTTATTGAGGTGCTCAAGTTCTTCTTCTTTAACAGTTATGAGGTTTTGTAACTGAGCAGCAATCATGGTGGTGTGGACCTCCTGAATCGCAGTGAAGAGATCCAATCCCCTATGTTGCTCATATTCCTTTGCGACAGGAATAGTGGGAGAATGCATTCCCATGATGTCAGTTATGTGATTATTCACCTCTACAGTATGCTTTTCTAGTCCATCATCTAAGTAATTGAGAAGATCTGTCAGATCTCTTAACTGAATGTATATCTCACCTGACACTGCAGCTGATCCTATGTCATCGAATTCAACTGGCAGAACTATATAGAAAAGTGTTAATGACTGATTGTGGAGGTAAATAGAAAGTTGAACTGATTACATTGACGTCTGGCTTTCACAAATGCGCACCAACAACAGACTAGCCTTATAAACAAAAGTGACATACTCACTGTAGTCCTCGCTATTGCCATAGCAGGTATTGTCACTGGCAGGGACATGCGTGGTGAGTCGTTGAGCAGGCCAAGGCGAGCCAGGGTGGACCTGGAGAATGGGAGGACTAGGAGTAGTGTTGATGTCCAGAACAGGAAGATCACGCGTGGTGGATGGGGAGGTGGGACACTCTGGGCCAACATGTAGGTCCGTAGTCACTGTCACCACTGCTGAATACTGCATCGGAGCCAGTAAATGATGTGTCTTACCTGGTCGTCTCCCAGTGAGAGAACTAAAAGTGGGGTCGACATCCAGAACAAGAGTATCATGTGCAGTGGATGATTGCATGGAAGGGGGTCGAGCCAGGCCTGTATCCCTAGCGACATCTGTACAGGGTTTATGTTTGATAGAAGGCTGGGTGAGTGGAGGATGTATTGGGCTGGCATGGATCCGGATTAGCCGTTACTATATACATTCGATATCCGGAAGCCATAACGGATCCATTACGAGACTTATCCGTCTCAATATACGCGATACTCTAGTACTCTGAAATAAGGGGCAAGACTCGGGAAAGGGGCACAGCGCACGAGCTGAGGCCGAAGCCCTTCGGATCCGATACCACTTGAGTACGGTCTTAACATTCACCTAGATCTCTGGATCCACTCATCCAATATCTCTAGACCTCCGGATCCGACCTATACTCATATCCAAAGCCCAAACCTTAAATCAGTGTTATCTCCTTATGGTAATCCCCTTGACTCTGGACTTCGGTTATCTGTGTTTCCGTCTTGCTTATTGATCCTTGTACTCTGTTCATCTCCAAGTTCATTTACTTATGTTCCATTCATACTTACCAATATGTTTCCACATGCTCATACATAGCATTTGTGTTCAGCTTACTGATCCTCTGGGATCCCTTCCAGTATATAAACCTCTGTACAACTCCTGTAAAGTTTCCTCAGTTCGAATATCATCTTAGATTGCACTCATTCCGTCTGGACTTGAGTATGATACTCTTGTCTACTCTGGGACTTAGGATTGATTCCTATAGTCAATATATCTGCCTCTGCCTTTAGACAGTCCTCACCCATTAGTTTCTAGTTCGGATCCGATCTGGATTAGCCGTTACTCTATACGTCCGATATCCAGAAGCCTTAACGGATCCATTACGATACTAATCCGTCTCACTAGATGCAATACTCTAGCACTCTGAAATAAGGGGCAAGACTTGGGAAAGGGGCACAGCGCACAAGCTGAGGCCAAAGCCCTTCAGATCCGATAAGTTATATGATTATTCACCTCAACAGTATGCTTTCCTATGTGTTTTATCTCTATATACTTACGGTATCATTCCTCACATTTCTCTGACTATTTACATGACTTCCTGACCTCCCTAGGATGTCCCTAGGTCGAGTTATTCCTTACCTTTGGATTGTGGCTTGTCTGTTTACATTTGTTTACCAAACATCGCCCATATGCTAGAGTCCAGTGCTCCCTGCCTCTTTGGCAACTTACTCTGGACTCTAGGTACTGTATACTCTTACTATACTCCAATACATTGGCAACTTACTCTGGACTCTAGTCCTGATCACATCTGGTCACTTATTAGCCTCTAGAAGTGGCCCACTTCAGTCCCATCTTAACATCATTACCATCATCATCATCATCATCATCATCATCGTTCTTCTTCCCTTTCTTTTTACCTTTTTGCATGCTACACTTGCTTTCCTTTCCATGGTCTGCAATTCCGAAGACCATCTGAAGTTCCTGCTGCTTTGTAACGCGACATGATATGTTGATATTCACCAACTGGCCTTCCATGTGAAGGAACTCTGGGAACATTTCGAATATTGACGATATAATCTGCATAGAGGGGTGAAATGTGGTGTAATAAAAATATTATTAAACTTGTACCTCAGTAACAGCATACATGCATTGTTCAGGATCATAGTCAGGATGGCACATAATCGCTCGAATCATGTCAGCGGAGGCTGACCCAGGTGTCCAGTCTTTTCCATGGGCCTTCGCCATATATAGCAGTGGTGAAAACCATGCAGAAACCTGCAGGATCTTTAAATGGCTGTGGTATACTATCTACATGCAGGAGATACACAACTTGAAAATTGACCTTTCAATCATACTTAAATTCCACACAAGAGTGGTGATAACGGAGCGAGACATTAATGGAAAATGGATGAAGTTGTGTAGGTTGTCGTGTTGGTGAAGCACAAGGCTAGCTTTGGTGGCACATCCTTCTAACACTGTCTGGACGTCATCAGACAGGTCATTTATTGCCTGTGTTTTCTTCTTGTCTCGCACATAGTCTTCCATAACGTCGATTACATCCAACTTGTACCGCAGATAGGCTTTTGACCAAATATCTTTGTTTGTGTTACCCAATCGGTAAGATGCAGCAGTTTGACCACCCAGGTGCTTCTCATATACACTGTTTAGAGCCTCCCTGAGTGGGTCAGAGAGTGCAGCAAGTACTGGATGTGCTTGCTTAAGCTGTTGGTACATCTCTGCATCCCCCATGCGGGAATCGTATGAGATCATGTTAAAACACCGGCGTAATCGGTTTTCTAGTCGCATGGTGATATCAGCAACAATCTATCCATAGACATGCATCAGTCAATATCGCAAGGTATCTGATCCTAATATTTTACGCACCCCTCCATAGCTCGAGAACATCATATTGTAAAATTGATTGAACTGCATCTCGGGCAAATAGATATAGTGAGTGCTGGATGATACAGTCATTTCTAGATGGCTGAATATGTAGTCCTGAGTGAGAAGTTCATTCTGTTTTGCAAAAATGCCCCCAGCCATTGTGTGTTCAACATTAGACCAGTTTTTGCCTGTCGCAGACAGTATCTTATACTGTTGGATGAGGCCCTCTTCCGGCAACTGCATATATATGTGCTTGGTTTCATTCTGTGATATGTGAAGGCCGATGATTTCGTCGATCTGACCTGTTGGTTTCTGCATCAGACACATTTTGATTTTCAGCATACAACTTACTTTCATCAAAAACAGTGACCATCCATTGACCACCGTACTCAAGCATGCCAGCAAGTTTCTGCAGGCATATCCTTACAGCTTTGTTGATGTGTTCAATCTGAAGTTGCCTGATGTTATCAGCAGGTGACCTGGCGACGTTCCTCTCTTCTGCCAACTGCATCTCATATTCCTTATTTATCTTCTTCATCCAAGCCTCAATCGCCTTGGTCCGATGATGTCCCCCGGCTGCCTTTATTTTCCAAACCTTTGGTGCACTGCCAGATATTTCCAGGATGGGGAGCTCCTGGTGCTTATCAACATCCTGGCTGTAGCTCCCTTCCACAAGCCATTTCTTGGGAACAACAAGAGGAATCGCATGGATGGGGTTGAAGTGGTCAACCCCATTCGCAAGGAATGATTGGTATAGAGACTGTACTTGTGAATCAACTAGAGGGCGGTTGTTCCATTCACCGAATACCAGGTGATCATAATATTTGATGAGGTCAAAGCGAGCATATCCCAGAATTGCCTTGTCTGCTGTTTTGTCTCGTTTTGCAACTTCATGAATACTATCATCTAATGATGGGCCTGCAGGTCCTCTGGTGCTGTCAAGAAGCAGCGTATCACCAGCCTGTCGACCCATTGGTTGATTAGCACGGAGCGTCATCATCAGTGCTTATACATTTCATAATCACACACCTTCTCCTTCCAGCCTTTCTCTTCCCCTGGACTCTTTGTTTTGGAGGCATTTCAGTGTAAAGTGATAGTCGCTGGGTTCAGTGATGGCAGCCAGAGTGTCGTCACAACTAAATTGTAGTAAGCAGGTTTGGTTTCTGTGGTACCCACTGAAGGATAGAAGGCTGCGTTCAACACAGATAGAAAAAAGGGCAAGTGGTGGAGATAATCGTGAGGTATTCAAGCCAGTCTCCCCAGCCAGACTGAGTCACGGTCATTCCTTCTTGATTACTATTGTTGGGCCATAGTTGCAAAATTTGACAACCTTAATTTCATATCTCATTTGTTACACATTAGTGGTTCTCAAAGTTGATTTCATAGAATCTGGAAATGTCAAAAGTGTGCGAGTTGCCGGTTGTATTTGAAGCTCCGACGCTGACAAATAAACCCTAAGCTTTGTACCATCTGCTATAGCATTCTGCAGCTCCATCACTGATATGCCCCGTGAATCAGATCGAAAGATGCTGCTTCGCAGCCTCAAACAAACCAGAAATGACCTTTCCGTCGCGCGATACATGGAACTAATTGAATTTATGATAGATCAAATACTGGATGAAGACTCAGACTCTGATACAGAGCTTGATGATGCTGCCAGTGGCCGTAGCGACTCGGATATCAGTATACGGACTGCATCACCAACATGGCCGGAGTCGCCTACATCGTCAATCACATCTGCCTCATCAATCAACTCTCTGGTATCGCTCTCAATAGCATACTCCGACTTCTTATCGCATGATATCCCGGACATGTGTGAATGGGTCTTTACCCAGTTCATTGACGCAATTGGTGCGCTGCATGATGAGGTGGAGAAGTGTCGAGTGCTGAATGTGCATCCACGTCTGAATCGCGCACCTCAGCTTCACTTGCTGGAGGAGTGGGCTCTGTTCTCAGCTGATAAATTTTGCCGCAAGCTTCGTGTTGAGGCAGACGTGTTCGATGGACTCACAAAGTTAATTCAAGAACACCCCATCTTCTATAACCGCTCAAATAACCCCCAACTCCCTGTTGCGGTCCAGCTCGCCATTTTTCTAAACGGTGTCGGCCATTATGGCAATGCCGCGACTACTGAAGATATATCCGACTGGGCTGGAGTATCCTTGGGGACCGTTTATAACTGCTACAAACGGGTTATGATTGCGATCTTGCAGCTTCATGACCGGGCGATTCATTTTGATCCACTTGATCACGAGGATCAAATGGAGCGAGAGCGGGCGAAAGCTTACGTGGAAAGCAAGACATGTCGTGAATGGCGTGGAGGTTTTCTTTGTGTAGATGGGACTCCGTCCCCTCTACATGAGAAACCTGGTTGGCATGGTGAAGGGTTCTTCGACAGGAATTCGGACTACTCTCTAACAGCCCAGGTAAGTATCGGTTCGGTGTGCAACACAGTGACTTACAGTTTAAAAGGTTGTTATATTCCCTCATAACCTTCGTATCGTGGACTATGTCATTGGCGTACCTGGGAGTCTCCATGACTCAAACGTATTCGCACGAACGAGAGTTTCCCGGCATCCTGAGTCGTTTTTTGGTGCAGGAGAGTGGTTGTGGGCGGACTCGGCATATGCTGCACGAACCTGGTGTGTGCCACCATATAAACGGCCACCGGGAGGGAGTTTGACGGAGGACCAAAAGACGTTCAATCACAACCTGTCAACGGTGAGTATGGATCACAATACATGTTCATAGTGCTTACCAAGTGTCTAGGTCCGTGTTCGTTCAGAGCATTTTTTTGGCTCTATCAAGGGCCGGTTCCAATCACTGCGGGAGCTTCGCATCCCAATCCAAAATCAGAAGGACCTCGACTACGCAAACATGTGGATCCGTTCGTGCCTCATTCTGCACAATTTAATTATTGAAATCGAGGAAAAATTAAACCATGGGGACTCGAATGTCCACTTCTACCAACAACCTCGGAGGCCAAGGCAAACTGATGGCGATGTGGGAGAGGAGGATCAACAAGAGGGTGGTGCAATAGGTGATCAGACTTACATTGGAAGTGTGGGGCAGGATTTTTGCAACACGTTGAAGACACGGTTGCTTTCCTCATTGGCGTAATTAGAACGTACATATCTTGAGTCCAGTGATACGGTTTGTTTCGATCTTGGGTTTATTTGCTACTCTCTTTGTCAAGTAGAAGCTCTTCGTCCTCTTTAGTACCCAACGAGGGAAATTTGCGCTTAAGTTCAGCGTCAAGTAGAAGCTCTTCATCCTCTTTAGTACCCAACGAGGGAAATTTGCAGAGAAAGGACCATTTGCATTGCTTAACGATCAGTTGTATGACATAGTACGGACCTAGTACTTCAGTTTTGATCAAGACCACGCTCCATAGTAATACGACGAATCCGGGCCTCCTCCTCTTCTCGACGTGCACGAGATAGCTCAAGTTCGATTCTTGCAAACTCCATTTGCTGAACTATCCTCTCCCGTTGGTGGAGGTGGTCTTGTTCAGCAAGACGCATTGCATGCTCCCGCTCATCACGAGCACTGCGGGCCTTGAGATCACGAGCCCAGACTTCGCTCTCGAGTTTCATACGCTTATAGCGTTCATGCTCGACACGACCCTCGCGTTTGCCATCGAGGTGTACCATTAAAGACTCTGCCGTTTGGGACATCCTTTCTGCGGTCTGGTCAAGAGCATTGGTGCCAGGGCATTTGCGTGATGAAGAGGGAGGACGGCTAAGCTGAGATGATGTGCTTTGAGAAGATGGACGAGACTGCTTTGCAGCGAGAGAAGGTGAGCTTTCGCGACTTCCTTAAGTGAGCTGACATGGAGAGACCGTAGTGCTCGGCTGGCACCAATGTCCGAGTCTTCTGAGTCAATAGGTGTAGACTGACGGCTCGGTGAAGACTCCTTGAAATCCGAAAAAAAAGACAGCGAATTATCAACGGTGTTTTTATTGGATGCTGGTGAGCGCTCAGGAGAGTTCAATGATACTACTCCTGGGCCAAGCGCATCAGAAGTTGAGATGGGAGGGAGCTGTGGTCGTTGGTACCATGATGGTAATGGAATTAGCGAGAATGAATCAGGTGTGTTGCTAGGACCACAGTCCGAAGTTAAAAGTGGTGATGATTCGACTGATTCCACGTGGGGGGGCTGGTCAACCACCATATCATCTGTCACATCTACAACACCACCATCATCCATAGTGCGAGGATTGATCTCAACTATTTCTCCGTCTTCAGGGTCTGTGTGAGTGTCGTCGTCACCTGTAGCCGGTTTTAGTTGCATCGATTGAATATCAAAGTGTTCCAATGCGGCAGATGCAAAGTCCTGCCCTACATCCGCAGTAGAGAAGGCATAGTTGAAGGCTGGGTTGGTCCGCCACCAGCCATGAAGCTCAGGCCACCAGGGAAATTTTTCGAGCTTTGTATCTGATGGAAACACGGTTAAGACATGTGCAGATCAACACAGCTAAAACGGACCGATCAACGACTTCATCTTTGGATCCTCTTGGAGCTCTGCATACGTCTTTCCTGCTCCTGACTGCTTGAGGTCCTTGTTGAACTCGTTGTATTTTCTTCGAAGTCTGAAACATCTTATCAGTGATTCCAGTGGGAAGATGAATGACGCAGGAACTAGATACTTACGTGCCGAAACGAGTTGAAACTGGTTTGATAAAGGCCTTAGGGTCCTCTTTGAAGAGTCGTTGAACCTCCAGATCCTCATCATTCGAAAATACTGCGTGTGCGACCTGTGAATAGACAACATCTCTTGAACTACCACTCTGCTTCTTCTTCCGACCTTGCTCCTTGGCATCCTTTGCCGAATCAGAGAAAAGCTTGATTCGTGCATTGTCATGTTCCTTGCACCAGGCAAGTAGCCGTTCAGTATGAGCACCACGGACCCCCTCCCAGTGAATGGTACACTTCTTCCCAGTGTCCGTACTGGCAGGTGCGTTGGCCCGGACACCTCCACCCTGGCCTCTCTGATTTGAGCGTGACATGATCTAGGGTGTGCTTAATGACAGTGATTAGATATTGGATTAAGGCTTTAGCAGCGTCAACGCCGGGTAACGACGATGTTGAGCACACTGGCTGGCAGGGCAGGTCGGAGTTCGAAACCTGCCGTACCGGCAGCATCCGAATTCGCAAAATTTCTCTGTGAATTTCTTAGAAGGTTCGACTTTGAGAACCGTTATTAAGATGAGAAAATTATATGGAACTGTAGCTACATGTGTTATAAGGGAGCTCCAATTTATATAGGAAATAAATAGGCTGAAATGACACTGCCAAAAGGATGTCGACTCAAAATATTAGAAACACTGGTGTCTGAACTGACACTCAGCACACCAAATCCTTTGGATAATCAGAATTGGTACTCCGCTCAGTGCTCACAATTGTCATGCTTGAAGCTTGAGCATTCTCTGACCGCCGTGATTGCATCCTTGGCGAGTCGGAAACAGCAACTCTGCTCTACTCTTGCTATAAAAATACAGAGGAGGTGAGTATTGGTATAGAGGACCTCTGAGAAAACATTTTTTTTGACACTCTGACCCAAGAATAGGCGATTTGATTACCTTATTCGGTATGCTCAGAGTCCAGTGACTCCAGTAACTACAGTAGCAGACAACCAAACACCACAATTTTGGTAGCCATCCAGTGTGAATTTTTGGTGCCAAACCAAGGCCAGATCTGAACTCAGGCAGTGAAAATATGTCTAAAAACAGTGGTCCGAAGTTTTTCCCATGAGGTTTTTGGCCTGCCAAATTTTTGGACATTGTGTACCCCTTTGGGGTGTCTGAGGCACCATTTTGGGGGCCCTATATCACCAAAATGACAGGTCACCGACAAAAAATATTCTAATTTAGCTATGTGGACTTTATTGTATATGATTTCACCCATTTGCAGCCCAACCCATAGAAATCCGGGAGCATTTGAGGGACATTCCAGGGTTAATTACCTCAACACTTACCATTTTTAGCGCTAAAACGGCTCTATATTGTTGTAATATTTTAATGGAATCATGCACAGATCAAAAGGAAGTGATTGCCATATTTTTTGAGATTTTAGTGATTGATTTGCGGTACTGCCGAAATTTTGCCCTAAAAAATCCTCAAATGTTGTGTTGGACAATCTGCTCGTGCAAATCCATTGCACTGGTCCTCAATAAACATATTCTGCACTAAAAATGGGTTCCCGGTCATTTGTGGCACCAGGAAAAATCAGTCTTTGGTGTTGTCCAAAATTGCTGATTTTGGCTGTCTGCAACTGCACAGTAACTACAGTGACCACAGTGACCATAGTGGCTACAATGACTCCGCTAGTGACCAAACAACTGACATCTGTGAAGTTATATTACATAAGTCATAATGCCTGTATTAGGAGATTGGCGTGCCTATTGCATTGTATCTCACATACCGCGTCCAGTGAAATACCCCGAATACGCTGACCTGCCCCCAAAAGAGAAGCATGCAGCGCAGAAGAAACGATGGTTCGACAATAAGAAACAAGACCCAGAAGAAGCGGAAAGGATAAGAAACAAGAATGCGGAAAACAAACGGCATTCATGCGCACATCAGTTGCTGCAGAAACAGCAAGGAACTGGTGGCGACTCCACCAGCGAACAGCCTCCTGCAAAGCAACAGTGAGTTACAAAGTCTGATGCAACAGGATCTTCGCACAGTGCAGGACCATCAGATACCTCAAATAATGTAGGATCGCCTAAGGTTCTAGATGCTACACTTCCAGTAGGACCGTCCTCTAACACAACAGGACCTGCTCACAGTGCAGGGCCAGCAGATCCCTTGCATATCACAGAGCTGTCTACCGTCCCAGATGATAGAACATCAACTGCACACGTCACAGGACTGTCCAATGTCGTACACGACCTAATACCCATTGATCCTGTACTCTTAGATCTACACAAGGCAGAATCATGCCAATATGCCAATATCTCAGTGACAATGAATATGCACAGCACATGTGATGCATGCGCAATGACCGAACTATCCTTGGTACCAAACAATTCCTCCCTCCCTGAAAATGACCCTATACCCCCCTCACCTTTGTCGGCCCATACTGATCTAGATGTTGTCTTTCCGTCAACAACGACTTGGCTTCTCACATGCTTGGGTCTGAAGTGCCCAAAGAATCAGAGACCATTCAATGGTCTGATGGGAGCATCACAGTGGTGCCATGTATTTTGAAGGATGGGGTAAATCTATGCTGGGATGATGTGAACACGGTCAAGAATTTCGCTAAGCTTCCAGAATCCCGTCCGGGGTCAGAATACGTCGAACATGTACATTCCCCTAATGGGTGCTCGAAACCAGCAGAGTTACGCAAGCTAATCATGGCAACACTTCGCAAAAATAGAGCTATTGTTATCCGAGAAATGGAAACTCCCGAGCATGCGACACTCAATGTAGACTATCTGGAAGATCACTACGGCGTGTCACCATACATGTGTGTTGTAATACACGGTAAGTCAGTTAACTTATTCTCCAAAATGTTTCCAACCCCACATTTCAACAGATGTCGAAGAATGCACGAAGGACTATTCAAACCCGTACAAGGCCGGCACCATCGAACAGTTCATTGGCGACATTCACGATCCTTCCAAGATTCAATGCGTGCTCGACGTGCCATCCGCACAAGGGGGTCTCCCACCGTTCTTGAGGTCTGCCTCAAACCATCCTCTTGCATCGTCACTTCTCACCTCATGTGTAGTACTCTCAATCATGGCATTGTAAACAGATGGAATCAAACGACAAATGACTGCCCCGTTGGCGATCAAGTCCACCCTGATAACTTCACCATAAGGGGGTGGTCGCTGTTCCATCATGGCAGATTTCTCACTTATCCTCATTACGACTCAGATGGCAGCGCCACGTATGTTAACACTTGCCGACGGGGGGCATGCCCTCAACTTTGAATGGCAGACCCATCTATTGTCATATTTTGATGTTGTCCGCTACCCTGTAGATGTCAAACGTTAATGTTTGCCGCAAGTGCTCGACAAATGCTCACCACTGGTTGGAAACAGCTAGCCAGAGGCTCTGCTTCATAATGTCGAAGCAGACCTCGGTCTTGACAGTATGAGAAGAAATAGTATCTCGATGCTCACCTAAGGCACGTTTCCATCTAGCTTTGGACCATTCAGACCTCTGAAAACATGATAAAGGTATTACATCTCTGTGGTGTCTATGAGGCAAGGAGTGTCAAGAATGGCGATGCCAGCCTCAACAATGTTGACCACTACGAGGGAGTCACAAGTGATTATACCTGGCTTCGAGGATCTGTTACAAGCCCCTGATAGAAATATGTCAATGATAGCGCTATTATGCTAGCTTGATCATGACGGTGGCCAGACGCTATGGTTATGATGGGACTAGTTGGTGATGTAAGGCTTATGCATGCGGTCAATGTGATGGTGACGGATGAATGAGGGTGGCGTCAAAGAGTCAATGCCTGTGTAGAAAATGTGTGTGGTGAAACTGAGAGGCGACAGGATGCACCAGACTGAGTGTGGCACAAAGTGCAGGGAAGATCAAGTGTATGACCCTGCATCCTTGGTATCACGAAAGCGTTCTTGGCGGAGGCCGGGGTGGGTGAGTAATACAACAAGTGCCCATGCGAACCTTGAAGCTGAATGAAGGTTAACTATTCAATGTTCATATTCATCTAGCGTCACCACAAAAGATGCATGTTTTCCCAGAGGGAGTACCACATTTGTCTAATTTCAAACATATAGCAAGTACATATCTGATTTCTACTAGAGAGTTCCAAGCTGAATGTACATGAGTTGATGTAACAAAAGGGAAATCACAGCTGTACCCGACTGGTCGACCCACAGCCCCATATCTATACAATGAAATATGGCCCTGACTGGCCCATGTACATTTCCGAATCATAGAATGTGCTGCTAATCGTCGCTGGCTCTTGCTGGTAAACAAGACCAATCTGTGGGTCCAGCAACTCCTCAGTGGCCATACCCTGTTGTGGGTAGCAAGTAGCTGACAATGACTCCTCTAACTGATAATCACAGGAAGGCATTTGTGGACACTCCAATTGTGAGAGGATTGGTCCGGAGGGGGGGGGGGGGTTGGAGCGGTGTGGGAAACACAACAAGAAGAGAACTCTGTAAAGTACTCTTCAAATGTTGGGTCAAAATTGCTATGCCTAGCTGCTATTCAACCCTAAAGGATTTCTGTACTAGACTCAGAGCTCAGAGAGTAGAAGTATCATCAAGCAAAAGACTGTGATTCAGACTGGTACTGACACTGGTGAAAGGGAGACATGATTATGTAAGCAGTAAAAATGCGAACATAAACTAAGGAAAGTGGGTAAGTGAAGGTAAGTAAAAAGGGGGAATATCAGCCCAGGGAAAACTATATTGTCACAGCGGTATCATGCTTCATGGATGTTAGTGGCACAGTCATTTCTTCTAACGATTTGAGGCAAGTATATTGACCTGGATGGAGCTGGCATGCGAAGTTCCTTCATCACTTGGCTACAAAACATGAGAATGATGTTCAAATCGGATACTGCAATCACACACAGTCCTCTAAGGTGAATGTCCACAAGCTGCGCCTTTAACACCCTTCCATGGATTGGAGAATTGTAAGCCTCCTCCATTTTAATCTGGATCTCACGTTGATCATTGGAGTAGGAGTTTGTGATGAAACGTAGGACATCTATAACTCGCCTGCTACTGCCAATTTGCCCCAATTTGCGTCAGGATGTCCATGACATATTTAAGAATGTTGTCTGTTGATGTTATTCCTGGGTGTCATAAAAATCAGTGGCAGTATGACACTGAACGTAATGAGTACAGTTCTTCAGTTCATCCTTCTCTGTGTCCATGGTTTGTGGTATCCAGCCCTCCAAAAACATTTTCATCACTAGTTTTTGGCGCATCCATGAGAGGGCGGTATGCAGTTCTGCTGGCAATCTCTTAAAATTCAGTTTTACAGGTGCTGGTACTTTGTGGTCTGAAACACCACCATGGATAAAGCTACCCAGATCATCTTGCGACATCATGCTACTTGAAGCATGTGACATGGTTTGTGATATGCCGGGGCTACGAGAGTATGGATGAACATGGTGTGATGATCTATCTAGAAGTGTTATTTGCCGTCCTGTCGCATTAATGTCATCCATTTCGTTTGCTCTAAACTGAATAATCTCTAGAGACATGGTAGTGTGAAAGAGGGTAAGACGAACATTTGTCTGATGCTCATCACAATAACATCTGTACTTATCAAGTCCACTGATTCAAGTTATTTGGCAGTAATCCAACCTGCCCTCAGCCAGTCTGTACTGTGGGTGTCACCATTGACCTCGTGTAAACTTACCACTGTGTTGGCTATAGGGGAGTATCTTCGGATTGGACTCCTTGCAAACAGAATCAAGAGGTTCTGATACATATTATCGCGATCGCAAACTATTTGAACTTACATAACAAACTTGTATGTGTTGTATATGTGCACCACTCTGGTATTTTGCCAAGTGGAATCCTTTTGAGTAGTAATATCTAACTATAGTGACCACAACGACTGTGGTGACTATGATACTGCAGTGACTAGAGTGACTGCGGTGACTACAATGTCTGCATTAACTACAATGACTCCAGTAACTCCAGTGACCCAATTGGCCAATATCTGCTGTTGAACAACTGAACATGGCACTCTGAAGGAAATTCCCAGCCCTGGAATTATACCACACAATGATCGATCTGATCCCTAGCTTCTGAATGCATATTTATTTTTATGCAGTTGAATCTGCAACAAATATTATTTGTGTCCCTCTGAAATAAATTGTTATGTAAAATAGTGTAGCACTATTAGTACAAAACACGCTCATATTAGTTTTTAGAGCATCTGATACAAGTTCCTTGATGTCTTGTGTGCTGAGTTGGGTGAGGTGAAGAATTGTGTTAATTCCACCACAAGTGCTCCAGTTGGGAATGGCTAAGGGTCGTTAGAAGCGGGGATGATCTTCAGCACTTCCTCCTTTGCCACTTAGGCTTCCGATGAGAAGTCAAAAAGCTCTCTGACAGAAGAGAAGACTATGGTGTTGTTTGGATCATGTACATTAGTTTGCATGACGTGTTCTTGACCTCAAAGATTTCCATTCAAATTTTGCCAAAGCAAGGTGTGACTGATGGGTGCCATGGGAGGTGTATGAAGCCGCTGGTATGAGTTAAATGCCCAAGAGTTTGAGTCACAGATAACGATGATCCCTCTTTAGCTCTAATGAATACTACCATAACAAAGATTGTGGTATCTTGGGTTTGCTATTGCAGCTCGTCAACCCGCTGCATTGTGTTCAGCTAGCACCTCGAATTCTATTGAAAAGCGAACAGGCTCTTTCATCAGTAAACTGGTGAACAAATTCAAATATCATATAAGGCTATATATTAATCACAATCGCAACAATCTACATAAATGTAGAGGGGGTAGTTACACAGAAATGTTTGACATTATGTAGGAATGATGATTTTTGAAGCCAACCAATCAAGTTGTCCCATGCTTGATTCACCATCTCCTAGTACACATACATTCATAGAAGGCAAAGTTGAAACCTAAGCAGACCAAGTGAAACATAGGTATAGGAGTGCCAATATGTGCTTAAAGCTACCACCTACTATTAGTCGAGGACTGTCCATCTCCTTGACTTTGGCCTCGCATATGCCAGCCAGTAACTTACCCACCCACAAAGCGAGCCTCATCTCCTGACTACAAGAGACACAAGGGATCTGCTAAACTTGACTTTGGTTCCCCCAGCAAGTGATAGGGTCCATCATTTTCTCCACCTCACAACTGTGACCAGGAGAGCTGGGAAGGGTCCCCCTAGAAGGCGATTTGGAAGCCCTGCAGGCTGGGAAAGAGAGCGAGATAGAAAACTACAGCATGGTAAGAAAGATCGCAAAATGACAAAGTGTCCACTTTACCCACTGTTATCTCGTGGTTTGTTTCAGGACAGCTACTTAGTCCAGCTTCCTTTGATGGTGCATCAGACTATTTTCCAAACTGAGGAATCCTTGATGCGAGATATATTCTAGATCCCGTGTTCTGAACTGGTGACCTGATGATGTTGTTACGCAATACTGTAATTCCTAGTACTACTAGACATGCTACCTCACCTTCTTCAGTACCTCCTGAATATGACTGTATGAAAAAGTCACATGACTCCTGCGCATTCATTTATACTGCAGTGTCTTCATCTCTATGTAGTTTCTTCATTTCATGGAGATGGTTGCACACGCCCCAACGGATCAATTATGTAAATGAATGTCAATGGAATTCCCATGGGCCATAGAAGCTACTGAGGACTGAGCCTGTTATGTAATTGAAAACTGGTTGCGGCCTTGCTACTTATTACCTTTTTGTTGCGTGTAAGTGAGTAATTATGCTAGGCATGACAAGTAGCACTCCGGCATCAACAACCAGTGAATTTTTGTCTGCCACCTCTCCCAGTGACCAGCCTAGGTTTGTCATTCACTGTTTACTGCGTCTCTACAATATCTGTTGTGCCTAGTAGTAATTCTCTCCTCAAGTTTAAATCTTCTGTGTTGAGAAATCCTGTGGACCCAAAGAAATGAGGCCAGCTGCAAAATATCCACCTGTTAAGACCGTACTCAAGAGGTATCGGATCCAAAGGGCTTTGGCCTCAGCTCGTGCACTGTGCCCCTTTCCCGAGTCTTGCCCCTTATTTCAGAGTGTTAGAGTATCGCATCTATTGAGACAGATAAGTATCGTAATGGATCCGTTAGGGCTTCCGGATATCGAACGTATATAGTAATGGCTCATCCGGATTGGATCCGAACTGGAAACTAACGGGTGAGGACTGTCCAAAGACAGAGACGGATATATAGACTATAGGAATCAATCCTAAGTCTCGGAGTTGACAAGAGTATCGTACTCGAGTCTGGATGGATAACGGAGGGACTTAGAGTCCAGACGGAATGAGTGCAATCTAAGATGATATTCGAACTGATCTACTACAGCGCATGTACAAGGGTTTATATACTATGGATAACTAACAGAATGATCAATAAGCAAAGGCGCGAGGCTATGTACGAAGTATAAGCAAAGTGTGTGTACAGCATATCGGTAAGTTGGATGGATAACAAATCATAACCGGGAATGAAGTATAAGCTAAAGCGGATCAGTAAGTGTAGCGGATCAGTAAGTGTGGCGGATCAGTAAGCATAATGGAAGTAAAGGATAACCGGTATACCGGTGTACAGGAATGCTGAAAGGAGATGAACGATAGTTAGAGTTATATGAACAGGACATGAAATAAGAATCAGATCGGACCTGTGGACTGGACAACGGATATGTCCATCGGATCTGGATCCGATCTGAGATCCGGATCTTCAGATCTGTACCCAGGAATATGGTATATGACACCACCACGGAAAGTCCAGGTCATCATGATCACCCCAAGCACTCTCACACCAAATATACCTTATCTCAAATTGGAGACTGTGATGAAGTCTATATAGACATTATAGATATTATAAATTCCATTGAAAGGTGCCTATTATTACAGACTATTATAGACTATACAGCTTGACGATAGAGGGCCTTCTAATATATAGCTCTATATAGATGTCCATTTTCCCATTTCTTTACTCTTCTCTACCTGACTATAATAGCTATACAAGTGAGGGTAACAACACCTTACTTTTATTGCTCTTATTAATATAGCTTAACACACCCACTAGTATACTACCCATAAGCAGATCAGAATATTGTGCACTAATCAAATCATATTTTCAAACAATAACAGAGTGCCCTTTGTCCTGACCATCATCATCTTCTTGCTCCTCATCATCCTCTGCAGCTAGCATGTCTTGAGAACTGTTACGCTCACTTTCCCAATGATCCATGGCTTTGTCTGTGTGGAGAACTACAGATGCCCTATGTGCTTGGTAGTGTAGATTAAAATGAGTAATATTAGCAGAAGAAACACAATAAAATCTCCTTGCAAGACCTCTACCACAAGATCGGTCTCCATCATGACCAGTTCCCTGCCTACAAAGACTCCTATGGGAAGGACAAGGCAAACATGTTTGTCTTTACCATCTCTGTGTCCTTTGGTGACGACGTTGATGTTGAAGACTAGCGATAGGAAAGGTAGCACGGGGGAATGACGGTTGCCCAGTAGGATGCGTGCGCTAGCTTCAAGTAATTCATACTCCTCTGGCAGGTATTCCTGCAGCTGGATAGTAAAGTGGTGAGTTTAGCTAAAAGATGTCACTATCCTACCCACGTTAATTTGAATCCATTGGAAGAGATCTCCAAATATCACCTTGACCAACTCGTACAAGTCTTGATTAAGAGCTGTCTCAACTGAGACATAAGGCGTAAACTGTGAATGGTTAGTTCATACATTGCTCCTCTCCATCATGTAGGGATGTATGTTGATTGGCACTGTGTCACCCTGTCATGGCCTTGTTAGTAAAATTGGACAGGGATACTTCAATTGGCATTACTCACCCTGGTGGCATGCCTGTTGTACCAAGAGAAATGTATCACCTCGAAGGAGTTATTGCTGTGTCCACCAATAGATCTTTGTCCTCAAAGGCAAGTAATCACTGCTGCAGAAGGGAGTCTCTGATTGATGAAGGCATGGTACCACAACTGTATGCCATCAAAGTCCCATCGTTGTTGCGCAGCTCAAGCTGATGGCTGCCACAAAATGTCAGATAGTTGGAGCTACGTTGATTCAGCTAACCTACCCTCTGATTAAGCTGTTAGGTATGAATATGTATGCATTTGACGGCGACATGATCCCATCCGCATAAAGACCCTCGAGCTTCAGATATCCAAAATCAGAACAAATGAATGGGGGGGAGTCAGTACTCACATATCCCACCAATTCATCCATGCTGTCCATCTTCACTGCCTGCTCTGCATATCGCCATTGCTCCTCTGTCCATACCAAGTCTGCCCCTCTCTCTTGCAGAGTAGGCATCTTCCTATTCTTGGGGTCCCTGCGTATCATCAGCTCCAGTAACAGACCTTTTCTCCAGTTGATCACAGCAAGTAATATTGAGCCATGAATCCCTTGATGCCACATAGAGTGAGTGATGACCTTGATTCATGTGTGAGAGATTCATATTTTCCTTATCTGGAATCAAACGTCGACACAAGTTGACCTTAGGGTAAGTGCCACTGCCCTGAATTGACATCAAGTGCAATATTTTCAACTTACCATGTCTGCAACTATTTCAGGTTCGATCATACAGTATGAAACCCCCAATTTTCTTTGCTAGGGACAACTACGATGTGAGGGTTAAGCTGGAACTGAGCAAACACACCATGGATGTAGGTACCGATTTCATTTGGCGTCTCTTCCCCAGTTCCAAGGTCTTAGCTGAGTCTAACGGGATCCGCACTTGGGAGTAAGTGTTGGTTTCCTGGTCAAAACACCAAAGTAACTGACCTGCTTATTTAGCGATCTCATAACAGCCTTTGAGGTGCAGCAACCTACAGTACAGCTTCCCTTCTCGGCCATGATACAAAGAGGAAGCCTGACCTGATACTGCTGAGTGATCTGGTGGCAGACTGGAGATGTGTGCGATCGGTTGGGGAGATGAAATCCTCCAAGTCAGAAAGGATGAAGGTAGATATCTTCAATCAGCTTGCTTGTGAGTTCCAGCGTCTGTCTGCAATATGTTTCCAAACTGATGTGTCTCTTCTCCACCTAAAACATCAATTATTTTCGCATCCCAAGACAACTGGGAATTTGTCCTTAGCTTGAAGTTCATCCAGGATGGTCTAGAGCTGTTTAAAGTCGACAGAGGTGGTGCTATTGCCGTCCAATGTGTTCCCATGAATTCTCATTGGAAACTATTCTTGCGCGTCATCATATCTTTCGCAATCACCCGCAATGAAATCATTGAATACGATCCTAGTATCAATACTGCGCCCGTCCGCAAAGGAGAAATCCGTTATATGAGGCTACAGGAGTACACCTGGAACACGGACTTAGCAAGAACCCTGGTAATTATGACATTCAAAATCTTATCAACTATATTCATCTCTGACTGCGCTGCTGGTTGAGGCACCTGCATTTTGCATGTCGAAGATGTCATCACGGGTGACCAGTTCATCATGAAGGACACCTGGCATGATCCCAAGCGAGGCCTCACTGAGGGCCAAATTCTTCAAGCACTCAAAGGGATTGCAAATATACCTGTGTTTGTTGCAGAAGTTGTCGTCTCACAGTATTGCTGGTCTCGATCCTTGGTTTTGAGAAACATTACACTTGATTGTGTGAGGGGTGGCAAGGAAGCCGGAATGAAGGGCATGGAAGTGACTGGGGGTGACGGAAAGTTTAGAAAGGTGCATCCAGTTTTGGCTTGCTACGTCATGGACTATCTGGAGCAATGTTTGGTGACTTGCACCAAGTATGGCACGTGTCCTAAATGTCATCGATCCACAAATGATCTGAACCTCAAGACTCCTGGAGAGAGACACACACAAACCTGGACCCTTGGTGTTATCAAAGAAGCAAAGGCCTCATCACCTTCCCTACACCAGTTTGATTCCAAGTGTCAAGCCTCTGATGTGTCAGGAACTGTGCAGCACCCTTTCTGGGAGGGATGCCCATACACCAATATCCACCTAGCCATTGTGCCAGACGTCCTTCACCAGCTGTATCAAGGTGTATTCAAACATTTGATTTCCTGGTGTGATCAAATATATGGCCTGTATTCTCTTGGCATGTCTTATTGGGAAGGTGCCATGCAAAGTACTGGTGGTATATCATTCTCTGCTGTATTTCATTTGTATTCGCGACCATCTCAACATACCCAAAATCCACTCCATGGTCCATTATGTTGAGTCCATATGCTACTTTGGCTGCACTGATAACTACAATACAGAGGTGTTTGAACGTCTACATATTGACTTGGCCATGGACACTTGGAGGGCCACTTGGAGGGCCACTAATAAGAGAAATGAACGCCCCTAGATGGTCGCTTGGCTTACAAGACAGGAGAAGGTCGCACTATTCCACCAATATCTGGAGAGGCAGGAAAGAGAAGAACAAGGGTCAGATCATGATTTGCAACATTCCCCTCAGACGATTTCTCTAACAAAATACCCCTCACACCAAGGGCAAACCTTACAAAATATAATGCTCACTCATCGTTGTCCAGGTATACTTGCAAACAATGCATAATATGATCCTCATACTCACCTATTATTGTCTAGGTTTGGTTGATGATCTCAAAGTGTTTCTCAACAAATGCCAATCCAAAAGAGCTGGCGCCACTCTCTTGAGTAGAAGGACAGTTGAGTTGAGTAACGTACCCTTCGACAAGTTGGACGTATTTCATGCCTTCAAGTTTGCTCGTGAAGAATTGGGAGATGATGCTATAGATATGAAGCAGGAAAAGGATTGGGTATGAGCACATCCATCTTTTGCAAGACTGGAGGAGCGTTTTGATACAGTGATTATCATGAAGTCGGACCAGTGTGAGTAGCCCCTCATCATCAATGGGGCACTGGATGTCAAGCGTCGAAACTGGGACAATGACCACAATTATTCATATATACAACAGTTTACCTTTTCTTTGGCCACTCATATGAGGTAAGAATGTTACATTTCTCCTTTGTTCCTTGGGTTGACTCACTTCCAAAAGCTATCTGGATGTTCGGGAATGGCACAACATTTACAACTATTGGTGGGATGAAGATGATGTCCTCTATGATAAATCCAACAACGACCCAATGAGGGCTGAGGTTAACCCAGAGGACCTTCCTTTGCTGGATGAGGAAGGGTTCAAAGTCAACATCTACAATGAACAGGGCTTCAGGGTCCCTCGGCGCGCTCCCGTGCAGTTCTCTACCTGTGGAGCACTGCTTAACCTTCATTCTGTCCATGAACTCTTCCGCTCTGAAGACGATGCTCATGGGAATGCTCACAACAGGGCACCATTTAACATTTATCCACTTGCATGCACAAAGGTGCTTGGTAACATTCAGTCCCGAAGCATCATGTCAAATTTCCTTCCACATCTTACTCGGATAGATAATTCCATCCATCCACCCCTAACAGATGGTGATGAAGATGGTGAAGATGTCATTGATGTAGATGTTCGTGTTCACGGTGCCTCAGTACTCCATGGAATCAATTGTCAGGTCTATAATGAACTGTCTCATTGTGTCAGGGATGAAACAAAATTTCACCCTGTTCAACTTGGAATGATCTCTGCACTTTGTCAGGAACAGCGACCAAAACTATTGCCAGTCGATGTCATTGGACGCAACGTCTCCAGCAATGCAACCATAGCCTCCCTCATGAACACTTTAATGACAAGGTGTCTGGCAACAACCAGCCTCAGGCACTTCAATTTGAAAATACATACACACTAGATGTTTGTCGCATGAAGGAAGAATTTTGGAATGGAAGGTTAGTTTCCTGCACATCTGTATTGTTAATCCTCATTCTGACTGACTGAGTAGCGATATATATGGCCAAGTAATAACCCCCCTGCTGAAAACTTGGAGCCATCCTACCGTGCTGTCACCCATCAGAGACACAATCATTGTCTTTAAGCCAGATGTGTGTGTTCCTTTGTCGTTTATTTTATGGGGTTCATGATAGTCTGTCTCACAGTGCATTCCCTCGTTATTTGCATGGGCAACCTTTCCTTTAACCGCTTTATTAGAAAAGATTTGGGATGCTCATAAGCACACTCTTGTTGAGGGTGCAGTAATCGACCCTTGCCTCATCAAGTTCACATCAATGGTTGAACGGGCTCTCAACTTTAGCCACACCGGAAATGCATGTGTGTTATGTAGGAGACTGATGGATAGAGCTTGGATATCATTGGGCATTATACATGATGGATTGCCCTCTATATCTAACAAGGATCTACCCTCAGATCAGCAATCATTCTATGCGAGTTGCTTGCTATGCAGCTGAAATAGGCTTCAAGGTTTATTTCGATGACATCAAATGTTAGTACAGGACAGCATTTTGCGGGAAGTCCAGCCCGCCCTCGATGGGAATGACAGGCATACAGCCCTCAGCCGATGGCTAGATGAAGAGTACCCTCTTTCCTATTCCAGCCACATCCTGGCATACCTTCTGAGGGCTATTGTCGATACAAATGATGGGAATAGAAAGCTTGAGCTTACAAAATCTCATCTCGGCAGCAAACCGCTTCCTTCTTTGTCAACATCATCATTAAACAGTGCACCATGAATCCCACTCCTCGACATCAGCCCCCCTTCATCACTGGTGGCCACTTTCTTGCTGTGATGTGAGTCGCCATTGATGAGATGGAGCGGTTGTACCAGTCGTGATTCTGTCACAGGCAAAGACATTGATTTGTTTGTCTCAGAGGCTGTTTCTTACACCTGCCAGTCACTCAAGATTAATCATGTCCCATGGTCCACGAATCCAATAGGCAGCGGGGGCGCTCCTTCCTCCATCATCATGCATGATGTATGGCTTAACCTTGGAGCTACCGTTGCCCTGAGACCTGCTTCTTCAGCCTCTTTCCTGACAAGGTGAGAGTCACTTCAAGTTGCTGCCTTGAGCTCTTCAGTATAAGTACAGCTGGAGGACTCCCGAGGTGATTGGTCTGCCAATGATGTTTGCCTCAATAATTTTGCATCTGTGGTGTGCACAGTTGTTTTGCCCATAGAATGGGGCACAGATTGTGCTTCTCTGACATCTTGTCCTCAATATGTCATTGACACTTATAACTACGTACAAACCGCCTTCAACGTCTCGGTTCCCATTCACCAGCTGGCCGTCATTATCTTTATCACCTTCTCCGGTCTGCTCCCAAATGTTTACCCACCCAAAGTACAGAAGGATGAGATCCCAAAAGCACCTCACCTACTTACATCGCATGTTCGAAACCTTGAGTGGGTTTTCCACCTGAAAAAGGGTGTTAGCAACCCAGAGCCTTTTATTACAATGATGTCTACTTTTATAATTGCCTTGTATGAACCGGAGTCACCCATATCTGTCATCCTCCGCTCACCAAAGTCTGATATCAAGGATTGGGTCACTAAACGCTGTGAGTTATTCATTTTTCTTGAGGCGTCTTACACTGCTCATATACACACTGTCAGCTGTGAAAGGCATTACTGTCCTTGCTCTCTGCAGGTTGGGTATTGCTAAACCTTGCACTTCCTGTGTTTTGTTCTCTCCCAAGTGGGGAATCGACATTGAGAAGCTTACACCCTCGTAGATTGCTGAAAAGCATGCTGAAGTGATCCATTTCATGAACACAGGAGGCACTTATGGAGGATATGACGCAATCTTATATCTTGTAGGCAGGGGCACGGGGGATCTTCTGGCCAAAAATATTTATGTCAAGGCTCGACCTCTACCTGTTCCTGGTAGCTCTTTGGCTTTGTCCGCATTGCCTGTCAAGAGAGCTGTCTGTGATTGGGATGATGACTCTAGGGTCACAACTGCTGCGGTTAACAAGATTGTTTGTAAAAAGACAAGGTTGTAAGGCCCACATGGATTTAGATAATTACCTCTGGAGAGTAGGTTCTATCACATCGCTGAAAGAAAACGGGCGCTGGGCTAGATAGTGAGTTCCCTAGTTGAGTATAAGAGATTGCATTATGTACCTAGATAGAATAAACCCTAGTGAGTTCTATAGTACATCAGTAAGGAATGTGGTAGGTATACTAGGATATGACTTACCCCCAGTCTCTTATACTCGACTGGGGAAAATGAAGAGCGAGCGTGGCAAAAGTACCGTGTGTGAAATTGCCTAATATGGCAACTCTGCTGGCATAGAACAAGTGTCTAAGTTAAACGAAAAAGATACTATGTAATATGCAATGGCACGCGCCAGTCCCTGACTCTTCTTTGGATCACGTAGCAAACTGTTATTATGATTCAACGGGAAATGTACAATTTTCTCTTAAACCTGAAAAGCATCACAACAATACATTCATATCGGATCTACTTTAGTGTATACCTTAGGTCTCTGTGCATTGAGACCAATAATATTTTATTTTATTTTGCTGAGAGCTTGTTGCAGCAGCAAGTCAGCAAACACCGAGTGGGCATGAAGAAAGTGCTGTACAATGACATTCACATGATCCACCTTTGTCCGTCGCTTAAGATTAGTGGCTGGAAGCAACCCGGGCAGATTTGGAAGGTCCAGGTACAACAAGGCCCAAGAGGTAATTCATGGTGGTCTGCTCGCTGTAACCAATCCAAGCAGGGAGACCATCATACTTCCTTGTAAGGGAGGAAGCCACCCCATCACAAGCACGCAAGGTCAACTGGCGCAGAAGCACACTGTGGCGATAACCAGAACCTCTAACTCACTTGGACAGATAGACAGAGAAACGAGGGCATGCGTAACAACAACTAAGACGCCATCAAACACAACACAACCACAAAATTCGAAGGAACAGGAACAGTGATGAGATACGAGCAATTTGAAAAGCCATGCACAAAAGTTATCAGGGGTCTCAAAGTGGTAGGTATGATATTGCAGGTAATAGAGTACATCATAGCATACGGAGTGATCAGTTATGTCATGCGTGACCAAGGTGACCAAAGGTGGAGGGCAGTCCATGCTCGTCAACTGCTCGAGCGTCACGACACGGAGCCTTCCCTATAAATGTCCTGCAAAAGCTTCAGAAAGTAATGAAGAACGAGTAATATACTAATCTCACATCGCAGGGGTCAAGAATGACAATTAGCACATTGAATTTGAGAATACAAAATAGGTCTTCGGACTTCAACATTGTCAATGGCCAATGAGTGTTATAATGTTCAACGTTAACGTTCAACATCGTGGTAAAGGTAAACAAAGAAGTACATAGCACTTCCTACTACAGGCATTATGACGAATTATGTAATATGACTTCACAGACATCAGTTTGGTTGCTATTTAGTGCCGGAGTCATTGTAGTCACTGTGGTCACTGTGGTCACTCACCTGGGTTTCCCAATAAGTAAGGCTTATTAGCCTGGACGATTACGTGTCTCACCCATGCATATTTGCCTCAACAACAACAAATCACCAACACCAGCATTAAATATTGCCCTAAATCACGCCAAAGCCTTGTATCTTTCAGCTGTGAAACCAAATCAGGTAACATATCATAAGCAATGCTTTTCGGTCATTCCTGCGCATTGCTGAAACCTTCGTGCTCACTGTTCGCACAGTGAGCTCAAGTATAACATGATTCCAATACCTTTTCTTCACTGTACTACATTATAATACAATTAATAACATTGATTTTGCATTTTAAGCACCAAATGACAACACAATAAGAGTGTACATAAGTATAAGGGCAATCAAGGTACTATGGCTCCTCCACCTTCATCTAGAAGACCAAGAGCGTCGCTCCCTGGTCGAAAATGCTCTATTTAATGACAAGAACATTTATATATAGTAAAAAATGTGAAATAAAACCACCTGGGTGCTGGGAAAGGTTTTCTGAGGGGGTATGGGGTAAGGAGAGGGCAGGAGGTGGGATACATAGACCTGGGCATGAGAGGATCAGGTACAGATGTAATATAAGCACAACTTAGGGAAGGGGGGAAGTAAATTGGGGCACTGTGGTAGCAAAAATGTGCCCCAAACCAGGGGGACTACTATAGGTGTCACAGAAATTAAGATAACTGCTCACCAAGAAAATGCGAACACAAGCGGTGCTCATGGAGCTTAAAAGAAGAGACTTACCAGAGGGTCTGAAGCGAAGTTCTGGTCCACTAGATGGTGTAAGACATGTATCTGAACAACTGATGGCCTCCTGAAAAGGCATGGGCCTTACATCACCATCCCTCCATCCCCTTCCTCAATGGGAGGCCCCCCTTATTTTTCAAATCAGTCCCTCCTTTTGTCGCGCCCTTCTGCCCTTGCAGCGCCATGCTCCAGCAACTCACTAGTGCTTTTGGCCACTCCACCGTCCTCATAGAACCATGCCCAACCGACTCTCTCAATCATTTTCAGACCACCGCCCTCACAGAACTGCGCCGTACCCACTCATCTCATCATCTTCAGACCACCGCCCCTCACAGAACTGTGCTGCACCAACTCATTTCATCATCTTCAGACCGCCGCACCAACTCATTTCATCATCTTCAGACCGCCGCACCAACTCATTCATCATTTTCAGACCGCAAGCCCTCAAGGCTGACAAGCACATCTGTCCATTTCCAAACTTCTCCCCACCCTCACAGCATCAAGCCTTTGAACTGCTGCATGCACTCGCAGCACCACAGCTGATGAATACATTTCACTCCCAACCGCAGCTGTACCGCCTCACTAGCACCTCCCCCAAAGGTAAGCCTCCTATCACTGGCGCATCCAAACTATGGACTACACCCTCACAGCCCCATCCAAACTACTATGCATCTGACCATCTTCCGCCCTCCTGAAGCATCGCTGGTCTCAGCAGTCTATTTTCATGCTTGTCACATAGTTACATCTGGTTGCACATCTCCATTGTATATAGCTTCATACCTTGGTGTGTTGCATGTTCCAATCAAACCCATTAGTGAGAACAAGTGCGAGATAACAGCGAGTGTGATTTCAAATCAGACAAGTAAATGTACAGTTGATGATGTGTTCTACACGTCTGGCCAGGAGTAGTGAGTGATGTGACCCAAAGCCGACTCTGCAGTCAGCTCCTGTCAGAGACTCATGTCGTGGGGCGCATCACATAAAGAAATGGGGCTTGGCTTTCTCAATCTCGCCACAGAACCAAAGGAAGCAGTTGATATATTTCCCTTCTTCAGCTTGCTCTTGGACCACCCAATCAATGAACTCATCTAGGGTCGAGAGCGTCGCTCCTCCACCAATGTCCTGCACCAGCAGCTTCCTGAACTTCTCTTGTTTTCCATGTGCTGAAAACCGCCTTGAATATGAACCCATCCCTTTCTTGTACACCATATTGGTGTGGCATGCTGGTTGCTTGCCGTTGAAGTTCTTTGACTGGGGCAAGCAGCATTGAAGCAATAAGAGAAAGGTTTGAACTTGAAAATCCTCTTGAAGGCTTGGTACTCTGCCATGGGCAAGGTGTTCATGTGGGTGCAACTGCTATGGTTAGCTTCCAAGACCAGCTCTGTGTCCCTTCCAAAGTGAAAGGGGCAATGGCCTGGCAATACTTTCATATACTTGTTCAAGTGGGAGGTCCACCCGAGATGACTCGACAATGCTTGACTCACCCTGCCTGCTCTAGCTGCAAAGGAGCGGGAGTGATTGCTAGGGAGCGATGAAGGAGGGGGCAGTTCTACCCTCGAGGAGGTGGGCGCAGATGGCTGTAATGCTGACTGTTTGAACATGGTCAGCCACGGGGCATCAGGCAGCAGAAGCTATGTGGTCATACCATGAAGGGGTTGTTGCTCTCCTTTGTTGAGGGGCGCTATGAAGACAGATGGGTCAGCTTCAGCAGCATCTATACGGCAGGTGAGCGAGACTGACAGGCTGATGAATGTCCTCCATGGCGTCAAGAGCCCTAGCTTGAGACGACGTTATCTGCGAATTGAAGTCATCATACATTGAATCGCTATCCTGGGACGTCGGTTGAACAGGAGCAGGCTCCTGTGAAGCATCATGAGTGCAAAGGAAGATGTTGTGGGAGGTCATCACACCCACAGCGACATGTGCAAGCATTTGATGCAAGGCTGAGGCCGATTGCAAATGCAGGAGGCACAGTCTGCATGGTGTCAGCTCCTCTGTCGGAAGCAAAAGGGGCGCTGATGGCCTCCATTGCAAATTGTTGCATAGGGCTGTCAGGAGAACACACGTCGCAAGGGATCCAGCTGGGCTCTTCAGTGCAACAGGCAGAGAGATCCTTGCCGTCCATACAGGTCGTGGTGACGTATCAGCAACATTCTTCACCATGGACCACATTGTGCAATTCTTCCATGCAGTGCTCCCGCCCCGTCCTCCCTCCATGGAAGCTCGTTATCCCCTCAGCATCTGTGACGAAAAACACATGAGACTCCTCTCTGTCTCGACCTGCGTGACCCAGCATCTGGTTGTTGACTATGAGTCTGTATGCCGGCCTGAAGATCACCACGTATTGGACATTGCATCTGTCCATGCCCTGCGCAAACGCTGTGGTGCACACCATGACCTTTGATTCTCCTCGGTCCCAGAGGTCGAGGTCGTACGCCTTGGTGTTCCCAGGCTTGAATAGCTTGCTATGATAGACGGCGCACCTGTTTTGTGTCACAAAGAGTTGGGCGTCGCCTTGTGAGGCAAAGAACATGAGCATGTGTTCTTCATCCCTCAAACGTCTGTTCAAAGCATGAACCAGGCTATTCAGAGACTGCTTCACTGTGATGGGCTGCACGGGGATGAAGTGCATACCAATTTCTGGATGATTTGTCGACAACCTGACCTTGGCGATGTCCGCGACCTTGATGCCGAATGGTTTGAGGAAGAGTGCCAGGCAGTGTGGAGGCGCTGTGGCTAAGAAGAGGGCGATCTGTCACCTCATCCTACTGAATTGTTTGGCGAGAACTTTCCATTTGATGGTGTGATTGGGACGGCAATTGCTTATGTCGTGAAATTTGTCTATGAAGACTCTCCCGAACTTCTTCCCAAGGGGGGACATCAGGAAACTGTGGAGAATGGACATGGATTAGCATGCTGTGGGAGGCAAGACCAGCCTTCTCACCTGGCGAATCTTTCAGATGAACAATGTTTGACCTGGAGAAACAGAACCTGAACATTGTCCAGGACATCTTTGGAGCGAGAGTAATTGTGGCATCGCAGACCAGTAGCAGTGGCCTTGGCATACTGTTCTTCAAGTAATGCGACAAAGGGGCACACCACAATGCATTTTGCTTCTTCATCCAGCACGGATGGAACCATCCACAGCATACTCTTGCCACCGCCGGTCTTCATGGCTATCATGATGTCGCGAGTGTCGGTCAAGACTGTGATCATAGCGTCCATCTGCACCTGGCTCCTTTCTTTCACTGTGGGATCTTTCATGATGTACTTGATGGTATCTCAAATTTTCTCTCTCATCTCCACAATGGCGGGCGGGGGGTGAGGAAGGTCAACTGCTGTTGGGGACTATGAATTCTGTACAGTCGTCATTGCTCAACAGATCAACCACACTCTTGCTGGCTTTTGGAAGCAAGGAGGCGTCATCACTGCTGGACAGGCTGATGACGTCCATGTCGGCCTCTTGAAAGGAGGTCTGAAGTTGACGAAGACGCTTGAGGCTCCTGGATGACTCCTCCTCTGCTTCTGTCTCGCTGACATGCTCCAGGACATGTTTGCAGTTTTGGTATATGTGGGGTGTGACTGGACCCAGACTGGACTTGGATGCTGAGTGGGACTGGGGTCGCTCAATGGATCGAGGCTGAACAGTTTCACATGCCTTTCTCTTTCCCTTGCGATCTATGATGGGTGATATGCTAGAGGACTTGGGCTGGTCCATGCCATCAGCCCTGCCTGTCCTTCTGGATGCACTGACTTTGTCGATCGACGCAAAAGGCTGACCAGGTTCATATGTCCTACCCTTCCCCTTGTTGTTGTGGACGGGCAATATTTCAGGCTGATCGCTGCTTGGCAACATCAAGTCATCCATGGAATCGGGTGAAGAGATGCATGCAACAGATGAAGGCGGCAGCGGTGAGTTCAACAGCGCCCTTTCATGTTCCAGGAAACCGCTTGTGGGTGGTGAGAGCCCCCCAGCAGATGCAAGGTCTGCAATGATGATCAAATGAGATTCATGACTTGTGAGGACATGCGTGGACTTGCACTCACTGCTGTTGTCCAGATACCCACCCAACCCTTGCGACGAAGCACCACAGGATGGAATATCTAGCTTGTTGTGTTCTTGAAGAACGGTGGAGATCAAGTCCTTCAGGGTTTCCTTGAACTCAGTAGCAAAAAACGAGTCGAGATGGGTTTTACATGGTTTTCATGAGCTGCGCGGACATGGTCTGAAAGGTCGTCCCATTCGCTGCGTTCCTCCTGGTTATCCAAATCAGTTCTGGAGGGGGGAAGGACTGAGACTGAGCAAGCTGTGCCACTGATCCCCCAGCCATCTATGCTTGCACATACTATTATTCGACAGTCGAGGCACGCCTCCTTCAACTACTCCGTAATGGCTGTGGTCGACGGAAGTGGATTGATCTGCAGACTCGGCCAGGATGCCATCAGCTCGGTCATAAGAGTTGTCGGGAGTGATGAACTCGTGGCCCATGGTGATCGTGCCTTGGTGAAAATCTCTCAATCCCCATCAGCAGTCGAAGTAGTCTTGGTTCCACTGGTGGAGGTCCTCCAAAACTTGGTGGCTGTGATTCTCTTTCCTTCCCCGATGCAAAGATATCTGAAACATCAGCCATGTGGTGAGAAAGACGTCAAGAGTTTGAGATGATGGACCGCGTTCACATTTTGTAAAGACATTCTGCTTCCTTGCCATATGCAATGCCAGCCAAGATGGCTTCCCCCCATGAAGATGTTGCGACGCTTGTCCCCATTGCTCACCTGGTGATCAATGAATTGCGTTCTGTGGCAGGAGATGTGAGTGGTGATGTACAGCAAGTGGTAAAGAGGCTCCCAGATGCGGGAGGTGCATCCAAGCAGCTCCTTGATTCCAGGAATGTTCCATGCGATGCGACCTTCGTTGTCGACCATGGCAAGGCCATAACACTCCACCAAAAAAAAGACCATAGAGTGTTGCTTCATGTAGAACAGCAATTCTGACAGAAATGAATAACCTCAGGTGGTATTGGTGTGGTCGTCCTTGACCTGATCTGGCATGCTGGTCAGCACGATGTTGTCGCCCGTGAGGGCAGCATAGCACGATTTGAAGTCCCTCAGTATTCCCTGGATCCCCTCTCGAAGCTTTTCCATACACATGGTTTGGGTGCCGATGGTGATGGACCACACCTCTGGATCCACATACACGTCTGCTTCTTTCATTGGATTCAAAGTGAACGACGATACATACTGCTGCACCTCGTAGATGAAGTTGAAAGTGGTCAGAGGACCAAGGCACAGCATGCGCTGATGAACTTGAGCCATGCGCCTGGAGGTGCAAACGCCAGATCAGTTCTTGAAGGAAGGTGGATCGAATGAAAAGCTCACTCACGGTCGTCGGCGTGCACGGAATCCGCATCCTTGTCTTTATCCAGGAGCGCTTCCAGGAGCAAGGTGGCATTGCAGAGGTACTTTAATTTTGCCAGGTCTGGGGTGAGGCCTGCAGCTTCACAGAAGTTTCTGTCTGCGCGAAGTGCCCTCAGCCAGACAGCTCGCTGAATGGGATTTGCCCAGTAATTGGTGATGCGCTGGTTGAGGTCTGGATCGACCAGCGACCATGCCATCTTGTGATAGGCGATCATCCTCTTCCAGGGGGTGCTAGCATCATCTCCCAAGACTGTCAAGAGGTCCTCGAGGCACTTGGTCTGCAGAGCTGAAAGGGCGAATGAGAAGTCCAATGGAAATCCAAGGCAGATTCGAATGATGTAGTGCATCAATTGGATCATGAAATTGGGATACTCCACATTGTCATTTGACATGGGCCTCCAATAAGTGTCCCTGACGTTTCTGAGGGTGTGAACAATGCCATGGAACTACAATGCAAAGAACTCACTGGTTTCAGGGTATGGCATCCCCAAACAACAGGATTTTTGACAGGCTCAACCTGTGAGGGTGACCATCCAAGATGGTGGATGCTTTCCCCATGTGGTCTTGGATGGCTACAGTGAGCTGGGTGAGAACGCCGCCATGCTCCTCTGGTGAATGCTTTTTCTTGATTTCCTCCGCTGTGTGTCTCTGGACTGGATTCATATGCAAGTCGGGCATGAAGTTGTCCCAACCCATGCATCGAATGAGGGGAGTCCGCTCCGTTCAGTATCAGCTGGAACAACCAATGGGACATCAAATGCAGGTAAGAACACAGCCTTAAGGGCATCTTTCAAGTCAGGTTTGATGCCCAGGAGGACACTGTTGCCGATCTCAAAGTATGACTTCCCTATGCTGGTGAATAAACGCTGGATCAGGCAAGGCCAGTGCTGGATCTCCGTCAACCCGCTGGTGCCATGATTCTCCCTGCTGTGTTTTCTCATGGTCTCCGCATCTCTTGTGCAATATGTGCTTTCAGCTGATGCTGTACACGCCAGACCTTCAACTGGGTCCACGATGAGCTGGATGGGAGGTCCTTCAGGGACTGGTGGCTTGACATCCTCCTGTTTCACATGCAGTTTCAACTCAGAGCAAAGTTTCAACAAAGCTTGCATATCTGATGAAGGCACCTGGTGATGCAGGATGTTTATTGAAAAATAGAGAACAACAGGAAGTGATGAATGTGCCTTGTATGATGGGTGATGATTTTTCCTGTGACCAGCGACCATCTCGGAGGTCAACGCCACACTGCACGAGTAGCAGATGAGAATTTTGAGTGCAGTGTGCATGCAAACGCCCAATGCATCCAGGAAGTGATGGGACTTCAAGTAGTCCGTGGACGGCACAAGACGCACTGAATATGCAGTAGGAGTGACTGTAAAAATCAAGACAAGGCATCACTCGTGAGCCCTCGTTCAAATCAATACAGAGCTAGCATATCACCCTGACCTTTGAAGTCAACCCCCTGAAGAGCTAGCATATCACTCTGACCTTTGGAGTCAACCCCCTGAGTGCAAAGCATCATTGGCGCAGGAACCTGATCCCAGGGGTTGTCGTTTCCTTGGTTTGTTTGCTGCCCTGCTACAGCCCGAGTCAATACAAAGACAAGACAATGCTTACTGGATGTCATATATGGCTCCACATGGGGCAGCAATTCATTTGGAGTGTGCTCCAGTAGGGAGTGTTAGTTGGTTGCACCTGATTATAGACGAGTGTTGGAACACTGTGCTCTTCACTCAGGGCTGAAGCTGTGCACGTTCAGTTAGATGGCAAGGAGTTTCTTGCTTGAACTGATGCTATAGACGGACAGAATAAACGGACGGACAATCAATGCTATGTATTCCATTTGTACAACAAAAAAGACCTAAGCAAACGAGAAAGTCATGCACAATGTAGCGCAACACTGTAAGCTAACATGTTCATTCTGAGAGCATAATGCAGACAAGAGGCGACCAGTTGAATGGGAGTCTGACAGCCCCACACAGTCACAAGAACCTTCCAGGCTCCTGTCCACCTTCCACCATCTTCTGGACTGCATCACACCTCTGAAGGAAGGTCTGTAAAGAGGCTGCACCGCTGCCTGGCAGGTTGTTGGCGTCACTCTGAGCCCTCAAGGCATTGACGTGCTCCTTAATGATGGCTGCATAATCGGACGAGTAATGGGTGCTGATGGCAGCTTGGTACTGATCGACAGACCGGTGGTTCAAGTACTTTCCAAAATGTTGAACAGTCAGTTCATGCAGAAGCCTCAACTCACTTCCAGCAGGTGGTAAAGGCAGAGGCGAAGTGGAAGACTGTGGCAGACAATTGTCTGTGTTCATGTCATCATCTGGATGGACACAATCATTTTGAGAATGCCATTTCGACGAGCCAGGACTTGTGCTCACCATGGTTGGTTCCATTGCCACCCAACCCGTCTCCTTGAGGAGGATGTGTCTTGTCGACATTCATATCTTCCTCTAAGGTACAATCATTAGTATTTTCTTAAGGAGCAGCGATAAACATCTCACCGCAGGCATCGGGCCCATTGTGTGCGGCACCATGGGTCTCTGAGTATTGACCAGAGGATCCTGAATTATCGTTCGTGTCCATCTCTTTATCTCCTGGACCCAATGATGATCAGTTTGATCCCTGGGTCCACGTGAGCATTCATCGACATTGGGATTCGGTACATTGACCCCCTTGGGTTTGGAGTGCTTGGCCTCCTTCTCCTTCCACCAAGGCCCTGCCGCTTCCACACATTCATTTAACAATCAGTTATGACAGGCATACACAAAGAACGTAGGTCAATAGTAGTTGTACAGTTGATTGAAGGCACGCATGTAAACTGGACAATCAAGCGTCGGAGTCCAACTCTATGTCAAGCCAGCAGCTACTGGAAGTCTTGCCTTGCACCATGATGTGCGCCTTAGCCGGTTTGTCAAACCTCAGCAACTGGCCTGGCAAGAGTTGCCGTTGGTACTGCTGCATTATTTCACAGGTTGTTTGGGATTGTTTGGAGTCCCAACCATTTAGCAGATGACTTATTGTATGAGGAGGCGACTCTGGCTGTTGCCAGAATTCTGTTAGACAGGGAGGCACTCCCTTTGTTTTTTACTGGAGAGAGTATTGGGCCTCATGGCTTGGAAAGAGTTGCTGTTGCCATTGGGGCTGTTGCTGTTGCTGTATTTACTTCCTCCTCTCTTGGAGGGCTTCTTTCTGTTGCTTCCAACCTTCTAGCATGCTGATCTACCATCCAGGCTGAAATCAACTAATCAGGTATTGCAAATCCACTTTGACTTGACCTCATCTACTTCCCAGCACATTCAAGTGAGTTGTTTCTATTTACTATCCTCATGCCTGCAGGAAAACTGACGTCTTATTTGTGATATTTCTAGCTCTGCCTGTAAGTGTGATTGATGGGAGCAGCGCTGCCTCCGTCCTTTACAGGGCACAGTGCCCTTGGGCGATCTGACTGTTGATTGTTGCAATGGGTCTGCGTCCCCCGCTCTTCCAATAACCAAAACACATGTCTGCATGGGAAAGTTGGGTCTTGGCACCCTCATCCCTCATGAAATGAGCCATCACGAATCGCTAACCTGAGGCCCGACTAAATGCTCCAGAACTCCTCTGCCTGGACATCCCCTAATTACATGGTCGCAGTGTGGCTGGTGCCCAGACTGACTAATAGGATCAAACAAAAGTAGGTGAACCGCCAGTGTCTCTATGGCTCAAGGTGAGTCAATTCACAATAACTTCTAACCCAGAGAATATCGAGTGCCATTGACGTGCAGGAGGCAATCCTGCCTTGATGATGCTTCCCATAAGAGTTTACCTACCTGTGGCGACTCTTATTAAAATTGTGGTGTTTCACACACCACAGTGGACATGGTGAAACATTTCAGCATGCGAAGGAGCAACAATATGGAGGATCAACCTTTCATTTGAAACTAATATAAATAATAACTTGTGGTTTGTACTTATATATTTCTGACCAATAATATAAAGGCAGCTTGCGGACCATTGTGCAGCTGAGCTTGGATTGGACAGAAAGATCTTGTGGTCTGATCTCCACATGTGGTAGTAATTAAAATAATCAGAAAGGCTTCTTTCCTCGCCCTTACCACACATCAACTTCCTAACCATACATCAACTTCCTAACCATATATCACAAATATGCCTCCCAAAAGATCCGCCACCAAGGCTGAGGGACTGCCTAGAAAAAAGGCCAAGGCTCTGGCTGGCACAATCCTTAGCGGGATCTCAAGATCTGCTCCTGGCGACGTCAACATCGGCAGTATGGTTGATTTACCCAATGGCCCATCAGCCCAACTTAAGCTGTCAAATATTCTTGCAGACGACAAGAGCTCTGGCAACACCAACACTACATCCTCACCTCGTCCAGTCGCAACCATGGCTCCCATCCCTCCTTCTGCAAAGGTGACAACCGGCATCTTCTGTCACTTCTGTTGCGACCATGCAGATTCTCCTTGCAAGCACGAATGTGTCGATTGCGGCGCTGTCATATGCGAACAATTTCTTCCATGGAGCAGCGGCTGCATCTATCTCAATACTGTGGAGGTCAGAGACAAAGATTTCCGGTGCCCCATGTGCTCAAGGAGAGGAGATGGGAAGGACAAGCCCTTGCGGTATGCATTCATTGGCTTTGGTAGGTGAAAGAAGGTGAAGATGGCCTGGCCAATGGCCATTGTTAATCTTAACCTGGAGTCAATGAAGGACAACTATCTCGCCAAATCAGTCATACTGGAGGTGGAGAACCACTTCCGATCCTACTAAGAGAACGTAAGTACATTCAATATGAATGCGATTCTGGCATCAAAACATCTAAATACTGGATTGACAGTTTACATCCATCCTGCATATGCGCGGTGGTGCACATGTAAACACATCGAAGAAGCTGGCCCCAGGGGTTGAATTCATCAAATGCAATATCAAAGCTGGGTTCCCGCCAAACACCTTTCTTGTGGTGGACACCCATTCAGATGAATACACCGGCATGCTGCAGCATACCGGAGGGCATGCTGGCGGTACTAACACCACGATCATCAAAATCTTGCAGGCATACCTCGGAGAAGACTTCATTTAATCAATGAAAGCATCCTCCGAGGCTGCAAGGAGCAATGAAACTGTGAAGAAAACGATGAATGGGAACGTGCCTTGGTGCGACCTCACTCCCAGAGCTAGAGGAGGATGGAGGGGCTTGTTTATGGTGAGCTGCGGCCCTGCTATTAGGGTTAGCCACCACTTTGAGGCCGTGAAAGGTTTGGTGGACAAGTGCATATGTCGCTCTCCACATCAGTAGCCTGCTCACTTTTTTTTCAGTGATTTTGTCAATTTTGTTCTGGCATTTGGCGGATCAGGGACTTTGCTGTCCATGGTGTCCAATACAGTCTGCTCCTTTGTTATGGATACCAGGGTCTTCGGACACACTGAATCTGGTCGGTGGTTTGTGAGTTGATGGCTTCCTCCAATGAGTTCTTGGACTATACTACCGTGGTGGTTGTGTTCACAAGCACAGTCGACAAACGGCGCATAGTGGAATGCTGTCAGATTGGGAAAGACATTCCCAAATCACGCACTTTTGGATACAAGTTCAAGTCCTGTCCCACCCCAGGTTGTCAGCCTGTGCCTGCTGACATGCACGTGCACAATCATGGTGTCAAGGTTCACCTCAGATGCTTAAAATGCAATTGGAGGTCTGTGTCCGCCAAGACTGATATGGACAACAAGCACTTCAAGAGAGTGAACAAGCTGGTTGTGCCTCAACTCTTCTGGCATCACTTCCCCCCTTCTACAGACCTCCAAAACTACTTTGTTGAGCTCACCAACAATGAGCAAGCTCAACCGCACCAAAACAAGGGAAAGAAAGGCAGAGATCAGCAAGGGAAGAGCAAATGCAGGGCGGAAATTGTCGCTGACGTCCAGGATGATTCAGAGATGGCAGGTGACCAATGATTTGTAGCTGCCCTGTCGAATATCATGCTTCTATATGTAAATTAGCTCTTCTTTTCCAAGCAACCCCCTAGCGTTGAAACAAGTAGGATCGCGTGCTATTAATCAGCGTGAATTAATTCTATGGTCTACGCCAGGGCAAATAAACAGTACAGATCATTTGATGACTTTACATGGTGCTAGGCAGGTCCATTGCTTGGACAAAAGTGACATTTCTGCATCGCTGTTATCTGGTGGCTATTGCGTGAATATCTGCCCATTATTTGATGCCTCCCACACATACTCCCCCACTAAAATTACATCTCAAAGTGTGGTGCTATGGACGCCAAGGACAAAAATGCCGCCACAGGTACGTCGATCAGGTCACACTGTGGATACGAATACAGGCAGACAATGATCCAAATGGAGAAAATTGCCAAATGTGGACAATGTGTGTTTCAGACCCTATATAAGCTACTGCTTGTTTGCTTCATCTCCAGGTTTCCATTTTGTCACTCCAAACCCCCGTTGACTCAACTAACTCATCTGTCAACAACACCACAGGTAACATTTTTATTCTTTCCTGATTCTTTTCAAAGCATTAATATGGCATATGCCGTTTCCCCAGGTCATTGCATCGCTCATCATCACTGAGGTTGCTTGTCTATCAGTGTGTAGTTACACACATCATAATCCTTACATGCCTGGGTACAACCTCAAGGTGCCTTCTGCAATGTATGATGAGGCAACACATTGTCCAGACAAAGACCACTGGCTGGCGGCAATGCATAAGGAAATGAACCTGATGTCTAAAATGCAGGTGTATGAGCTTGTACTCCTGCCTGCCGATCGTTGTGCCATCAGATGCTGTTGGGTGCTGGAGTTTAAGGAGGACCTGATGGGAGGACCTGTATTCAAGGTGAGATTAGTGGCCCAGGGGTTTTCTCAGATTCCAGAAGTCCACTTCGGACACACCTTTACCCCTGTCACCAAATCCACCTCAATTTGTGTCCTTTCAGCGTGTGCAGCAGCCAATGACTGGGAGCTAGATTGCTTTGATGCAAAGTGCACCTTCCTATAGGGAAAACTTCAGGAGGACGTCTACATGTGCCAACTGCCAGGCTTTGGGTTGTACCGGTCCCAATGGCCTTTGTTTGGTGGCCATATACTCTCCTCCCTTTATGGTCTCAAACAGGCTGCATATGACTGGTATGAACTTGCTTTCACATCTTGGGTTCCTATGCTGTGATGTTGACTACTCTGTTTTCATCTTCAATCAAGTCAACAGCGAGGGGGTGAGAGTAACCTGCATCATTGCATGGCACGTCGACAATGGACTTGCGGGCTCAAACAATTATGTTTTCCTTGACAGGATGAAGATGCAAATCACAGAACGCAGTGTAATAATAGACTCAAGACACTGATACTCTCTTAATGAGGCAAGTCTTTCCATATATGGGTGATGTTCAGCTGAACTTGAATCTGAGATGATAATTATCAAACAATAATCATCACAAGTTTTCCCTACCCTCACTTATCATCCAGCACCACTACCACTACCACTACAACCATCACTCAGCATGATTTATATTTGCTCCAACTGCTTTACTGAATTCGAGGCTCATAATGAGTACAGCAAGCATAAAAGCAGTGCTTGAAAGATATTGAGACTTTTAAGTTCAAAAATCTAATTATCACTGTTCAGAAAAATATTGAGGGTACTTTTGACTGCTGCTGTTCTCATGCTAGATGTGTAGATGGGAAGAAATCCTATAAAACCATATAGAGTATGAAGAGGCATATGAGAAATGTAAAGTCTCATTGGATTGGCAAGGTAATTAGCATACATGTATACTAGTACTAATTTCTCACTGATCATTATAGGCAATCCATCAGTCAACTGCTCATCAAAGAACTGAAGAGATTGATTGACATTGATATGGAGGAGCTTCAGGTAAGCTCATGCATCAACATACATGTATACTAATTTCTGACCAACCATCACAGGCAATCGATCAATCAGTCACTCAGTCTTCTCTGGTAGGTGGCTTATTTCATCATACATATACACCAATTTACCACCATTAGCAACTGATGAAGTCCTCTGCATTGTATCAAGTAAATAGAAAGAATGATACTAATACAGAAGAGCCTCATGTATGTATATGAGAAGCTAGCTAGCATATATGTATACTGATTTATTTGAGCAAGGACCTGCCACTTGATATGGATAAAGCATTAGACATAGAGTTATTTATGAATCTGCAAGATAATCAGGTAAACACGAGAATTATCAGACATGTATGATCATGAACCAATATACAACTGCTGCAGGAAACACAGGAAACAGCTTTCCAAGCTGTCCAGCAAGATAATAGAGTAAGAGTAAGAGCAGACACCTATCATACACATATGGTGATCAACTGACACTCATCCCAGTCTCAGTCAAGAGACACAATAACTCCAGCTATTCAGCAATATGATCAAGTGAGTGACACAATTATCATACATATATGATAATTAAATGAAATCAAAGGATGGACTGGTTCATCACCCATACTTGGATGTCATCGATATTGTAGTAGATCCTGTCCTTCATGTGCTTTGCTGCCACATCTGTCAAGTCACACTGCCTGATCACATGCCTGGTCACATAGACAAGAAGTATTCCACAATCAAACTGGACAGCATACAGTACAATTAAGCAGTAGCTGACATGAAGATCTTTATGACTTTACCAACCTCTATAGCTGGAGGCAGACACTGCAGCTCCTACAAGGGTCTTCTTGTGCAAGATGGCATCGTTTGCAACTTATGCTCCTACATATGTGGTTGCAAAAAAACCATAGGGTAACCATTATCGAGCGGAACATCAGTCCATCCAAATTCCAAAGCAATACTCCTTGCAAAATGCAGCAGCTCAATAAGGGGGTACACAAGCGATTTTGGAGGGTGGCTGCAGTGGAAGCAATGTCTTATGATCACCAGGAAGTGATAGATAGGATGAGAGAAGAGATGACAGAGGTAACCATGGAGCAAGTGCCTCAAGATAAGCGGATGGTCAGCCCTTGTGTCATGAATGCACATACCTGAACCCATTGTGTTAGCATGCCAATCCAGCTCCAAATTCAACCCATCAGCCACTAAATTACTGAACTCGTCCCATGCCATCTTACCATCAATCAGCTGGTCGACTGTGAAATGACCACTGGTGTTGTGTCTCAGTCATTGGCCAGCATGTCCATAATTTCCCTCAGGAAGTCTCCATGTTTGATCTCCCCCTCGGCCTGCAAGCAATGGTACAAAAAGATCAGAGGTTCATTGAGGGTGAACCTTGCAAGGCACCACAAGAAATGTTAGTTTAGGCAGAGAATATAAGTAACATACTGCTGACCATCATGTAGAAACTTGTCCTTTTGTTCGCTGATGAATTGAATTGGAGGCTCATGGAACTCATGCCACATGTCTGGCAATTCCGTGTTTTCATTGAATGTGATGTTGATCTCCTCCCCTCCCTTTTTGAGCTGCTTGAGGGCTGCATCCATATCTTTCTTGAACATCTCTGAGAGGTCAAGTCCCTTGGACATCCATGCATTGTCCGTCCCACCAAGCATCATTGGGATGTCATTCATGTTTACACCCCAGCCCATTTCTGAGGCCATCGCAAGTTAGCGCAGATGCACACATCTGCATCAGGTACGCCTACCAAACATCTTCTTGTTTCCTGGGTGCAACAGATCAGCCTCTAAATACATGTCCGCATCGTCAGGCAACTCATTGAACTCCATGAATAGCCAATCTCTGTGATTGCGAATGAGGAACTTGTTGAGTGATTTAATCCACTCATCATTCACACCATTTGCCATGCACTCTTCTAACACAATTCTTCTGGCAACCATAGCTTGAAGGAAATGTGCACCAGCATTCTTGCGAGAGGTGTCAATCAGATCTGCCTTCTCTTGTTGCATCTTTGTATTCTTCTGCTTTTTTTATTCTTCTTTGACTCACCATCCCAACATTTCCACACCACGAGCCAGTACTCTACACAGTAGCAAAGATACACCCAGGACAACCGATATCTGGTGGGGAGTGGCACATAGCCAAGAATCCACCAGTCCTTCATAGCAGGAACCCACAAAAACTCAAGCTGAGCGGTATCCCCTGCACCATAGCTTATCAGTTCCGGAACACCGTAATGAATCCTGAGAGGTGCACGTGCATCCCATTGGTCCATAGAGAGTTCAGCCTTGCTGACAGGGATGTGGAAATCACGGATGGGTTGAGGAGGTGCCCCACTGATAGCAGCACATTTTTCTGTAGATTTTGCTGCGGTCATCACACGATGCTGCTTTCGAACGGGTTTGAAGCGAGGCTGACGCACTGCACGCCTGTGCTGCTGGCTGCCTGTTTTCTTCCTCCAAGGCATTTCAGTGGGTGTTAGCACGAGAGGTGTAAGTGAACTAGTTCTAATATGCTTGATTAATCGGACAGAGAGGTACTGTCATATACCATATACCTGGGTACAGATCTGATCCAGATCCAATGGATATATCCGTCGTCCAGTCCACAGATCCGATCTGATTCTTATGTCATGTCCTGTTCATATAACTCTAACTATCATTTATCTCCTTTCGGCATTCCTGTACACCGGTATACCGGTTATCCTTTACTTCCGCTATGCTTACTGATCCGCTACACTTACTGATCCGCTTAACTTATACTTCATTCCCGGTTCATGATTCATGATCCATCCAACTTACCAATACGCTGTGCACATACTTTGCTTATACTTCGTACATAGCCTCATGTCTTTGCTTATTGATCATTCCATTAGTTATCCATAGTATATAAACCCTTGTACATGCGCTGGAGTAGATCAGTTCGAATATCATCTTAGATTGCACTCATTCTGTCTGGACTCTAAGTCCCTCCGTTATCCATCCGGACTCGAGTATGATACTCTTGTCTACTCCAAGACTTAGGATTGATTCCTATAGTCTATATATCCGCCTCTGTCTTCGGAC